GCGTATTTATATGTGTGTGGTGTGGGGAATAATTTTCAAATTAGAAAAGCTTGAAAAACATGTTTAAGACAAAAGGGAAGATTGAGGACTGAGGAGTATGTCCTAATCATACTCAAACTCAAAGCTGTTAGTGACCATTGGTTTACAAGTTAAGTTATTGACTTATTTGCAGATTTTGGAAAATTTGATCATAATTTGATATAATGATATACAAATTATTTGGTCCGTAAGGAAATTATTGGGCTATGGAGTTTTTGCCTTGCTAGGTAAATCTACTCGCAACTATCTGTAATTTAATTGGTTTCTTTACAAGATAAAGAAAAGAGCAAGGTCAAGCTTAAATTAGATAAGAAAATCATTATATATGATGAAAATGAGAAAATAAAAACTATACATATGATTAAAGATTATATATTATCAAATTGAAGGTAAATACGTGAGCGTTGTACAATATTCGTCAAACAAATTTTGTAAATATTATTATGTTATTTAAATGTTGAGACATATTGTTTATCTCGTAAATGTAGAAGATGATTTATCGATGTTTCATATATATACTTTGTTTTTACGGATTAAACCAACAAATTTTTTATTTGGTTCGTATTTCCAATCATAGAGTTATTAATCAAGTATGATGTCTTTAGAATTTTATTAAAAAATAATATTTTATTAAGCATCTTTAAGAAAAACGCAAACGAGGTACGTAGATCGTGAAATTAAAAAACACGAAAATCTTGTGTTTTTCTTTTTATTAAGACAATAATATATAGTGGGTTGTCCAAAAAAATAATACTAAGACATTCGAAACATGAACATCAAAGAAGAAAGAAACGTCAATTCCTAAACGTAGCAAACTTTTTTTTGTATAATTACATGTGTAAAACGTCATCAACTCATCATAGTTACATCATATTTAATATAATTACATCATTATATACAATATGGTGTTATCAAAATAAACTAGATATAAGTAAATGATATATCATGTAAAGCTCCCAAGTAAGGATCGTTAAGATCAATTGAGTGTTGTGAAAGAACTTTGGTATTTGTGGATTTAGTAGTTAAAGAAAAGAAAGGCTTTTATCAACAAAAAAAAAAAAAAAGAAAGGAAAGGAACACAACATGAAATGAAAACTACAACATGAGATTTCTATTCGAGTTTGGTTGCAGATGATAATTGTGATTTGAAACAAGATAAGTTTGTATTTAGAACAGAAACTAAAACACCATATATATCCAAACAAAGACATTAACCGTGGATCAATCATCAATGAAATCGGTGTTTACTCATGTTAGTTTCTAAATGGAGAGACAGATGAAGGATAAAGAACTTAAAAGAGAAATAGTACCTTGGAGATGAAACTCTTGAAGAAGGAAGAAGAATACTGGTGATCGTCGTCGTCTTCCCAAAAAAAAGCTCTTTACATTCTCTTTAGTGATGATGATGATGATAATCGATCGATGATTACACATGCAGCTAAAGATACATGGTTACGATGATATCATATATATATATATATATTCATGTGTCTGTGTAACATATGTGACTTCTTTATATCTCTGCAGGAATGAATATGAATAGGTTTCTTATATGGAACTTCTTATATATAATAAATTAATAATAATATAAGCTCAATTGTAGTACGAGAGATGTCTTGGAAGGGTTAAAAACTTGGGGAAACCGGAAGGGAAATATAGTTTAATAATTAAAGCATAAGGAAAAAGAAAGAAACAAAAAAATGTATGCATATATGTAAGTCATGTTTTCTTGTACATATGTAGACGTCTATTTCATGAATGGAGTACGAATGAAACAATAGTTTAATACGGACAAAATCAGGTGTACCCTTTTTGTATGCAAACTATAACTAAAAATCGAATAAAACCGAAAAGATAATGACATGTGTTATAAATGATCCAAATCAGAAAATTGGATTAGATGATGGGTCATGTTCCAAGAGGAAGAGTATTTTTCCGTATACCTCTCAATTGAAGTAAACATTTCCAGCGTAATTTATGCCAATATCAATGATTTAGTATGGCATTGTATATGCTTATTAATTAAGACATCAAGAAGTTTTTTTTTTTCTTTTGAATATGTTCGGACATGATAATGAATTCATCCAGGAATTTTGTAAGTATTAGCTAAATACTTCGAACTAATGTATCAATCACCTCATGTATGAACTATTTTTCTTTGACTACATAAAGGCTATTATGTAAATAGATAATCCTATAGTAATTTAGATTTTTTTTAAAAATAAATTAAAATTTTCAAAAATATGTGATAACATGACATGTAAAAAACGTCATATTAATATTTTTAATCAACTAATATATACCATATATGACTTCAAACATCTATTTTAGAAATATATTTCGAATGAATTAAAATTATAACAGTACCAAAAAAAGAAAGAAATTTAAACTATAAAAATGTGAATTCTCATTAATATAGCTAGCTACTACTACTAATTTGAATTTCTTGATATAAAAACTTTGGGATTTTGAGGCTTAACAAAATCTGTGGGCTGGGCCTAAAGAAGTGTAATACGAGGAGTCCGAGTTCAATAGACCCGACCCGACCTGGGTGAGAGGTTAGCCCACCACACCACACGCAACGTCCGTCGGGGAAGATTACCACGCGACGGAAACGACGAACACGAAACACGGAAAACGTCAAATCAATCTCTCAGATCGGTTTTGAAATCACAGATAACAATGTCGGCGGTACTCACAGCCGGCGGAGGCTTAACTGCCGGAGATCGCAGCATTATTACGGCGATTAACACCGGCGCTTCGAGTCTCTCATTCGTCGGCTCAGCCTTCATCGTTCTCTGCTATTGTCTCTTCAAAGAACTTCGAAAGTTCTCTTTCAAGCTCGTCTTCTACCTTGCTCTCTCTGTAAGTTTCCCCGTTCTGGTCTTTTGATTTAGCACATGACGCTGATTGTGCTAGATCTAGGATTATTGTACTGATTTGCACTGTGGATTGTTTAATCGCAAAGTTCAATTGCGTTCTGGGATCAGTAGTTGTGATTTTTTGAGCTCTGTGGCTGATTATTGGCAATGCTTTTGATTGTTGCAGGATATGCTTTGCAGTTTCTTCCTTATCGTTGGGTATGTTTATCTACTACCATTAGTTCTGGTGAATCTTGTTGAGATTTTTTTTTGAGAAGATGATTGTTACATCTTTGATTATGTAGGGATCCTTCAAAGGGGTTTATTTGTTATGCACAAGGCTACACCACTCATTTCTTCTGTGTAGCTTCGTTCTTGTGGACAACTACAATTGCTTTCACTCTTCATCGTACTGTGGTTAAGCATAAAACTGATGTGGAGGATTTGGAAGCTATGTTTCATTTGTATGTTTGGGGTATGTAAAATGATACTCTTGGGTTTCTGTTCTCAATTGTTAGTACATTCACCTTGGGTTTAAGGATAAGAATGTATTAGTATCTGCTCTGGTGATTTAGTAACTTAAGAGTCTGATTTTAGTTACTTTTCTCAGGAACTTCCTTGGTTGTGACTGTCATACGTTCTTTTGGTAATAACCACTCACATTTAGGGCCGTGGTGCTGGACACAATCTGGTCTTAAGGGGAAGGCAAGTGAGAATGCTTAGTTGAGCATAAAGATTTCCATATATATCATTGCCTCTTTAAAGGAATTTGAACTTTTTGTTGCAACACTGGGCCAGATGAATGTAGAGTAGTAAATCCATTCTTCGTAACTGGAACTCATATCACCTTTCGAATTTTGCAGGCTGTTCATTTCTTAACTTTCTACGCTCCTCTTTGGGGTGCCATTCTTTACAATGGGTTTACTTACTTCCAGGTGATACGGATGCTAAGAAATGCTAGACGTGTATGTAACCCTCTAATCTCTAATAACATTGTCTTCTGAAAGTAGTCGCAAAACATAATTGATACACTTGGATGTGTGCTGATATGGCAATGTTTGAATTTCAGATGGCAGTTGGAATGTCAGATCGAGTCGATCAATTTGATAATAGAGCAGAGTTAAAGGTCGGACTTTTCTATATTGCCAATACTAGTTCTGTCTCGTGTGACTGGATTTGTTTCGTCGTTAAAACCTCACTGCTTGTTTCCTGAAACCACAGGTGTTGAACCGTTGGGGATACTATCCGCTCATTCTAATAGGATCATGGGCATTTGGCACTATAAACCGCATTCATGATTTCATCGAGCCAGGCCATAAGATCTTCTGGCTCTCAGTTCTTGACGTTGGGACAGCTGCATTAATGGTAGCAAACCCCTCAAACAAATAAGTTATAAAATTCTCCATAGATCATCTTTACTCATCCCGAGTCGCTGTTATGAATGTTGTATTTTCAGGGCTTGTTCAATTCAATAGCCTATGGTTTCAACAGCTCAGTGCGCCGAGCAATCCATGAAAGACTAGAACTGTAAGTCACCACCATTCTCTTCGGTTTGCTATATTCCCAAGAATCATTGAAGCTTGATTTTCGTGAAACCCTTGGTCTGCTAGGTTCTTGCCAGAACGGATATATCGATGGCTTCCGAGCAATTTCAGACCAAAAAGCCATCTTATTCTACATCAGCAACAACAACAGCGAAGCGAAATGGTATCACTCAAGACCGAGGACCAGCAATGACACTAACTTTCAACAATGTATTTCATGGACCAATAACAAGAAGGCGGCGATGATAATAGCATTTGGATGTACATTGGTAATTCATACGTTTTTTTGTTTTGTTTCTCTCTTAGATATGGTGAAGGGGGATGCACAACAGGTCGTCAATGTATATGAATCATTTTTTGGGAACACGAACTTGACAATCTTTATTTTTTTGTATGAATTTTTTTTTATTGCGAGGTCTTCTGATCTTGATTTGAAGTTACCGAACTTGCACGACAATGTTGGAGAGTTTTGTTACAAAGTTCTTATGAAAATATCAAAATACTACTAAACACTTAAACGGCGCCGTTTCTAAAGAGGAAATACAAAATCCAGTATATATTTCATATCAATCTTCAAAACCCTAAATAACGGCGATTTCTTTCTCTACAAGACTGCACTACTCTGTCTTGAAAATCTGTGGGGATTGAGATGGGTTTGTCTTTTCGTCTATCAGTGATCCAACGGTGGAGAAAGAAGAAAAGAAGACGAAGCGAATCACTACCGGAGATTCCAATGGATGTGGTGACAGAGATTCTTACGAGATTGCCTTCTAAAACCCTAATGAGATTCAAGTGCGTCTCAAAGCTCTGGTCATCTCTCATCCACTCTCCATACTTGACCAGCCGTTTCCTTACGGTCCCATCTCAACGAATTTACATTTGTTTATCACACTACGAGGACTACCGTCGCTCTGAAATCCTAACTTTATGTCCATGCGCTACTAGTCCATCTTCCTCCTTTGTTGTTGACCACGATCTGACCATCCAAAATAGGGGAGGCCAGATCTTACAAAATCTTTGTGGCTTCATGTGCCACACATTTTTGAAAAAACCGCGAATGTATAACCCTACCACCAGACAACTTGTGACCTTTCCCACCATAAAATTAAAACCCAAAACCTCCGCTCCAGACAGATCTAGGTGGTGTTACTATTTTGGACATGACCCTGTTAACAAACAGTACAAAGTACTCTGCTCAGTTGGGGTACCTTCGATGTCGTCAGACCATTGGGTCTTTGACCTAAAACCTGGAGGTTCGTGGAAAAAGGTGACTTTGCCTCTAGCGGATTTTTATCCTCACCTTCCTCTTAGACAAGGACTGTCATTGAATGGGGTTATATATTACCTGGCAATGATTGATTGGTATAATTATGTGGTTGTGAGCTTCGACATCAGATCTGAAGAGTTCAAAATGATCCAAGTTCCTCTTAAGGAAGGAGATGTGCGACTGCATAAAGCTATCGAGAAGGTGTGTCTTATAGAATATGGCGGAAAAGTAACTGTTTTTGACCATACCTATCTTGAAGACAAGGGTACAGTGAATTTATGGGTCCTAGAAGATGTCAGAAACAAGGAATGGTTGGGGAAGACTCTGGTTTTGCAGCCTTGTCAGCTGCATTTGGTCAAAAACGTTAATTTGGAGGTAAAAGGTATAACTCAAAGTGGCAAGGTTATAATGACACCACATTATTTGTTTTATAAGTTTTACATTCTTTGTTATGATCTGCAAAGTAATGATATGAGAGTGATTAAAATCAAAGGTATACCTTACCTATGGCGTCCTAAGAAGGGTGAATGGTTGGCTAGTCGTTTTAGTGTGATGTTTATGGATAAGAGTGAGAGCGTCGTGTACATAAAGACTTGAATTATTTGTTTTGCATATGAGACAGATTGAAATCAAAGGTATTCCCGAACACTGGTTTAGTAAGAAGGGTGATACATGTTTTAGTTTGATGTTTATGGATCAGAGTGAGAGCGTCATATACTTGAAGACTTGAATTAATCCTTTCTATCTCCAATGCATGCTCTTTTTGTGTGTTTGTGTGTGTGTGTGTGTTTAGGCTAAGATCTCTCATCTCCATTTATTTACATAATTATATTGAAGCTCTCGATCTCAGCCCCGTCTTTCGTTAGGTTCTTGAGCCTTGCATCTGAGTAAAAGACAAGGAACATCATATCAATTCAAAACTATTTGGAACTTGTAACAACATGAACCTTTTTGGAAGCATGGAAGCAAAAGGTTCATGCATGTCGACCCACTTTATACATCCTTTTCTTCAACGCAGAACTAAACTATAACCAAAGCAAACATAGATTTTGGGCCAAAAGCCTGGTCACAAAATAATAAAAAAACCAGGAGAGGAGAAGAAAGAAACGTATTATGGCCTTGTTTCTTTGATTCTAAGGTATTACACCAGAAAATGGTTATCCTAGAGATGTCCGAGTTTGGAAGCTCGAAACTACATTTTCATATGAAAGTATGACAATTACACATCTATGTCCACATTTTAACATATCAAGTATAATCTTTCATACAAAAGTGGACTTGGATTGAAATAAAGAGAATGCAATCTAGGCAAATTGAGATCTTCACATAAGCCTGAAATAAAGGTCAGAATTACAAACATGGACACAAGAGATCAAAGGAACTATTGCAAGTGTATACATCACTTTATAGATTTAAATGATGCAATCTCAAACAAAGTACAACATGCTTTTTTGTACGAAAAAAGACGAATGGTGACAAACTTTTCTACTACTATTACCAGAACAAATATGCCTTAAACATTACCACATAGATTACTTTACACAAAGATAACTAACAAATTCTATCTTAAATGGTAATGTAATTACACAAATCACATCTCCTCCTAATCACTTTTCTTGGTTCTGTTTTTTTACTTTTGTTATTGTTTCAAGTGAATTCTATCACTAGTTCAATTCGAAAACTTTATTGCATCTGAAAAATAACAATTTCACAAAACAAAAACACATCATGCAAAACCTAATTAATCAAATCGATCGGTGAATAATTGTAAATTGATAACAAAAGAATCTGTAAAAAAAAAACACTCGGATCATCAATCTCCGTGCACAATTTCGTTAAAAAAGCTTTTCTATCTATTTACAAATGCATTGATTAATGCAGTGAAAGTGACTAAACCGGGGTTGATTAATTTTTCATCTTCCTCATATCGATTCGATCGTGGGAGCAACAAAAAAACAAAACCCCGATGTAGTCACTTTCAATGCATTGATCGACACAATAACTGGTCAAAAACCAAGATCAAGCAAAAGAGAAGGACTGATCAAAGCTTCAGAAGAAACAATGGAATTTTCAAAGAAGATAGAAGAGATTGAGATAGAGATAAGAGAAGGTTTTATATAAGAAGGAAGATGAGAAAGAGAAAAGCGGCGTAGATAGGTCGAAGAAACTAAAGAAACCCTAATTCATTAATGGGCCGAGATATGCATACATGCGACCCAAATTTTACAGTTTAACTAATTTAAAAAGGAAAAAAAGTCATTGCCATTTTCGTTGGTTTAAATCATGAATTTTGGAATTGGTGATTTAAATCCTCATTTTATGTAGATATCATGATTTAAATCCTCAATTTTATATTGACTTTCAATTTAATCACGAATTCTCGTTGACTAAGTCAATTGAGACACATTGTTAACTGACTAAATGGAGCAATCGAACGAAGAGAACGATGGAAACCATGTTGGTGTAGAAAAAAAATTATGTGATGGCTTCGAAGTACCAGTTATGCGATGACTTCGTCTCATTGATCCGTTTAGCCAGTTAGCGAGGTGCCTCAATTGGCTTTGTTAATGAGAATTCATGATTAAAATAAAAATCAACATAAAATTAAGGATTTAAATCACCAGATCTAGAATTTATGATTTAAACCAACGGAAATAGTAAAGTGATGATTTAAATGACATTTTTCCCAATTTAAAATTTCTTTGGTAAACGAAAACAACAGTGGAAGCCCCCTTGGCCCATTGGTTGAACAAGGGTTAATTAATGCTTCTACACCTAGAGGTCTGGGGTTCGAGTCCCAGATACTGCGATTTATTAATAAATTTGCAGATTATTGGAGGCAAGTGTGCAAGAGATCTCCAGCGATGTACAATTATAGCCGTTCGCCAGGATTCTACGCAGAGAGGGAAGTGTCCATCAATAGCATAAAGAAGGAGGTGAAGGAGGTGAGTATAAAGAAGAAGGTGAAGAAGGTGTCGTCTGTCGTGGATCTAATAGGGTCGGAAGGAATTGTCCGTTGTAGAATCGTCTATGTAACAATTCTCATAATTTGCAATAAATAATAAATCCAGACGTTAAAAAAAAAAACGAAAACAACAAGGCTCGTCGTAAGGAGAAATATTGGCGTGAGAGTGTGAGAACCCCGATGTAATTCTCTTTAGCCTTCTTGTTTTCGGTGTCTGATGGTGTCTATGGTCGGGAATTTGGAGATGATTATTTAATATAGCAAAACTCAACCCTAGTCTAGTTTTACTCATTAACTACTTGTATTGCTTCCAATTCAATCAATGTCATGTGTAATTTACAATAACGTTCAGATTTATTGATTTAATTTTTTTTGTCATGTGAAATAACTTTCAATATTAATATTTTCAAAGTTATTTTAATCAAGAAAAATTATAGGAAAATAGTGTTGTTATCTTTACGAACAAATCATCCCCACTCTGCCACTCATAAAACTTTAATAATACGTACAACAACTTTTATAACAAAAAAAAGTTACAACTAATAAAACCCTAAAGCACAGGAAAATGGATCCGGCCCGGGCCATTTGAGTCCACCGCCTATCAACGGAGACACGTCACTAGGTCGAAGGGCAGATTTGACAAAACGCACCAAGGGACGCCCTACACTGTTCACTATAAATACGAGATGTAGAGTCCTGTCATATCTATCCGCAATTCACGCTGACACGCAGAGAGTACACTAAGGTCGTCAAGCATCCAGAGGTCGTCTACTACTGCAATCAGCTCACCTCGCCAAGAATTCAGCTCGTCACGTTAACGAACCGACCCAACAACGAACTTTGCTTGTCCCTTTTATTTCGAGATCGTCATTTGTAACTCGCTTGTTAAAAGCTCATTTGGGCTCGTTTGTTAAGGAGATTCTTTTTACTTCCCTAGAGATCCAAATATCTGTACTTGTGTGATTTCGTGCATCAACAATAATTATTTTGAGAACACATGTAACTTATATTTTTACAGCAGACTTACCACATAAATTTACTGTTTTTACCACATAATTTTTTCTGCAATTTACATCAAATTATTAATTCTGCTACAACTCACCTTCAATATATACGTTATGAGTCGGAACCTAGTGTAAAGTAAAATGTGGTGTAATATCAATAAATTAAAATATCAAAGGAAAAAGAACCCTGCAGATTTAAGAAAAAGCCATGATAAAAAAGCTATTTTAATCATATTTCTAGAAATAGAAAAGACATACTGTATATCTTTACATAATAATTATATGGACCCTTGTTCCCCGTGGGAACCCCGGACTGACTGCCGCGGGAGGGGCAATCCGGAATGCGGATGGAGAGTGGCTTGGCGGGTTCGCTATTAATATTGGCTCATGTTCTGCGCCATTGGCTGAATTATGGGGTGCATATTATGGTTTGCTTATTACATGGGACAAGGGCTTTCGACGGGTGGAGTTAGACTTGGATTCTGAGTTGGTGGTTGGATTTCTGAAGTCAGGAATGAGTAATGCTCATCCGCTGGCGTTCCTGGTACGTTTGTGCCACGGCTTCTTCACAAGGGACTGGTTAGTCTGGATTAATCACGCGTATAGGGAAGCTAACCGTCTAGCTGACGGGTTAGCGAACTATGCTTTCACACTACCTTTAGGTTTACATTTATTTGTGACGTGCCCAGAGGCGGTCCATTTGATTTTGTTAGAGGACGCCAACGGGATAGCGTTTCCAAGAGCTGTTCGGTTGTAATTTTTTTGTAGTTTTCATTAATAAAATGCGGGAGGCAATTGCCTCCCCTCCGCCTACCAAAAAAAAAAATATGGACCTTTGTTCTAAAAATCTCCGTCTTGCTCCGATTACTCTCCGGTTAATCGCTAGGTCCACCTTATCCGCATCGATTAATGACTAATCTTTAAAAAAAATCAGTTACCCGATTACTTTTCGCCTAATCTGATTACTTTCCGTCTAATCCGATTACTCTCCGCCTAATTTTACATATTCCGATCTGTAGATTACAAATATAAAATTTTTTTTTTGTTATTCAAACATTTGAATTGATAGTTTGTGATGTTTTACAATAACTTCTGTTCAAATTTTAATAAAAATCATAAAAATTCGTCTTAAAAGTCATAAAAATCATAACTTATGTTTTAAAATTTTGCAGGTACTTATGTTTTTCAAATATTAAAATAAACCTAAAAATAGTGTCCGATTGATCCCCGATTTTAATCCGATTTTCCGATTAATCGATAGGCATATACCGAGCGCCCGACTAGAGTCTAGCGATTTTTTGAACAAGGATATGGACTATATACGGAGTAAATAATTTAAAACTAAAAACATAGATATTGTTTATCTGTTTCTAAAAATTGTTATGGAAGTTTCTTTTCTTTTTGTTAATTATGGAAATTTCGTTATCCAAAAAGAAGAAAAAAAAAATTAATCTAGAACATAATAAATAGAGAAGAAGGGAGAAGGAGGAAGCAAAGGGATAGTGCCGTGTTCCTCTCTCCATATCCAGCCGCCACTCTTTGTATATATAAAAACACAGCCATAGACTTATTAACTTAGTCTCTCCTTTGATCAATCTATATTGCTTTTGATTCTCTATATCATCCGGAATCTGAATTGGATGGTGATAAAGGGAATGCTTGTTGGTAAATACGAGCTTGGGAGGACACTTGGAGAGGGAAATTCCGCAAAGGTTAAATTCGCTATAGATACTATTTCCGGCGAACCATTCGCCATCAAAATCATCGATAAGTCGCGTATCACTCGTATTAACGTCTCTTTTCAGGTTTCCATTTTCGATCTTGATTTCTCTTATTTGATTAACGGTGGATGTGAACTCTTACCTACTCTTGATTTTGTGATTTTATAGATCAAGAGAGAGATTCGAACACTCAAAGTTTTGAAGCATCCAAACATTGTCAGATTACATGAGGTAATTTATTGTTGCTTAATTTTTAATCTTTGAAACTCTTTTGTTAGATTGCGTAGAACGGTAGTAAGTATATTTAAAATGTTAACCGTCATTTCGGTAAATTAATATTTTAGTTTTCGTTCTGTTTTTGGTTTTTTTTTTGTAACTAAGTTTTAATTCGTGACCACGCAATTGCCTTTTCATGTTGCTTATTAGCCCTACTTAACGTATACAACAATTAATTTTTTATATACCTGACCATTCATTGGTAGACAATATATTTCATGACCATGACCAATTCAATAATGAAGTAGGTCCCAAAAATATGACCCATTTGTGGTAATGACTAATGACAATGGCAATGCAATCATCATCACAATTGCCTTATCCTTGGGATTAAATTCCAATCTTTTTCATGCTTACCTCATAAGTTAACTATTAAATCTAGTAAAAAAAAACTCGTTTTCTACATTTCAATTACGTGAACCCACGTTTACATTGTCAAATGGTATTTGTTGGAACGATAGTGGTTGACTTCTAAATTTCTCAAAACCAGAATGTCTACATTGACGATTACTTTTCTTGCAAGCAACCAATATAAGGTTTTGGATTTTGTATCAACGGAGACTTGGTCCACGTTTTTTCTTGACAATGGAAAATTTCTTGATAATGCAGATCACTTTGGTTCTTCGTAATATACCAAAGTCTTCCTAAACATATTTTAATTCCTTGATATGCCAATTCTTTATTGTCCACTTGTAGGTCTTGGCAAGCAAAACCAAGATTTACATGGTTCTGGAATGTGTCACTGGGGGAGACTTATTTGACAGAATTGTAAGACTCATATTAGCTCCGGTGACGGTTTTGTTAGTAATTAGCATGAGGTTGGATTTTATATACCAAATTTACTAGTCTAAAGATATGCTCTGATGTCTTAGGTCTCCAAAGGAAAGCTTTCTGAAACAGAGGGACTAAAAATGTTTCAGCAGTTGATTGATGGAATCAGCTATTGTCATAACAAGGGAGTTTTTCACAGAGATCTCAAGGTCTATGTTTACAAATTTTTCTTGACCCATGAAAGCTTCAAACTTTTTTTCTGTAGTTGTTGGCCAAATGTTCTGATATCAATTGTTTCCCGTCTTGCAGCTAGAGAATGTTCTTCTTGATGCAAAGGGTCACATTAAGATCACTGATTTTGGCCTTAGTGCTCTGCCACAACATTTTAGGGTACTTACCAAATATTCTAAACCTATATATATACATCAGCAAAACATGTTTCAAACTTTTGTTTGGTTTTGACATATGTTAGGAAGATGGGTTGCTACATACAACTTGTGGTAGTCCTAACTATGTCGCGCCTGAGGTTCTAGCTAACAAAGGGTATGATGGTGCAGCATCAGATATATGGTCTTGTGGAGTAATCTTGTATGTTATTCTTACGGGATGTCTCCCTTTTGATGATGCTAACCTTGCAGTTATTTGCCGGAAGGTACCACTCTTTTTCTTTTAATCTCTTTTTGATTGTTTAGTTTGTGTTTGAAGAAACACACTCAAAGCTATAAGTTTTTCAGATATTCAAAGGGGATCCCCCAATACCTAGATGGATATCACCTGGTGCTAAAACCATGATCAAGAGAATGCTTGATCCAAATCCAGTCACGAGGATGACAATCGCAAATATTAAGGCTAATGATTGGTTCAAACATGACTACACTCCTTCAAAATACGATGATGATGATGATGCATACTTAATCCAAGAAGATGTCAGAATCTGTTTCATCTCATCATGCATGCTAGTTCCTAGGAATTTGGATCAAGTGCATTGGCCTTACTCAAAAAGTCTTGTCTTTTTTTTTGGTTTTATGATGAAGGGATCTGAAGAAGAAAAGAGCCCTGATTCTCCAACCATTATCAACGCATTTAGGTTGATTGGAATGTCATCATTTCTCGACCTCTCAGGTTTCTTTGAGAAAGAGGTAACCTAATCATAGATTCTTGTCCACGTTTACTCTGTTTCAAGATTGTCCTTTGCTCTCAATAAACGTTTGTTACTTTTGTTTCATGATCAGAAAGTATCAGAGAGACAGATAAGATTCACGTCAAATAGCTTAGCCATAGATTTGTTGGAGAAAATCGAAACGATCTTTACAGAGATGGGTTTCTGCTTACAGAAGAAACACGCAAGGGTGAGATCTTTTGACTGTTTTGTTCTCTTCTTGCTCTTGTCTGCTACTTGAGGTGTTGTAAGTAATTTAAGTGGTTGTTGCTTCAGTTAAAAGCAATCAAAGAAGAAAGAACTCAGAAAGGGCAATGTGGCTTATCAGTAACGGCTGAGGTTTTCGAGATAAGCCCGTCCCTAAATGTGGTTGAACTAAGAAAATCACATGGTGATTTGTCTCTATATAAACAGGTAATGTACTATTGTAACATTAGTTGATCTTTGTGTCTATCTTTATTCAATCTTGACCCAAAATGACTTATGGTTTTGGGTTGATGCAGTTGTACGAGAGATTATTGAATGAACTGGGCTCATCATCACAAGTACAGGAGCTTTTAACGTAGCCAATAGCAGAAAATATGTCAGCCTATTCTAAAATATGAATCCGGGATGCTATGCTAGAGGCATGTCCAATGTTCAGGATCACTGGATTTTTGTAAATAAAAACTAGATTTCTGTATATATATAGCCAAAGCTCAAGACTTATACATACATTCTTGAAAACTTTTTTTTGGAGACATCAGTACTCCCTCTTTTTTCACAAAAAATGTCATTTTGACATGTTTCACACAATTAAGAAAATTATGTTTTTTTTTTCCAACAAAAGACTTTTATTAATTTCAAAGAGTAATTACAAAGATATATTATGCAGAATTACTGTAACACAAATTATTACATACGCAGATGTATGCGCCATATACTGAGAAAAAATACAGTAGAAGGGAGTTTGACGATGTTTTTCGAAGAGTAGCCTTACTCGCTAACCGATCATAAGATCCGTTATTATCCAACTTCATATTTACTTTTCTCTGATACGATTTGAATGCATCATCACTTGGCTGAACTTTATTTTTACAAACCGCGGCTTTTAACCCGATGTGTATATATGTAATTCTGAAACGTAGACACAATGGTACCAAAACTTCTGTACCAAGATCCTTATAATGAAATATCTTGACTCTGTAATTTTCTCCCATATAGTCACATAGCTTTTTGCCGGTTAGATTCTTGGTTATTATCTTGCATATCTCCTTGGACCCAAAAGTTCTGAGGATCGGTTTCAATTTCTCCATAAATGTGACAAGCTCTTCCAAAGCCTCTACAATATTCCCTTTCTCATTAAGATCAAATGCACGAAGTAACGCCCATGTCTCAAAGAAGTTCTCGGTGAAAGTAGCATAGGCTTTTAGTTTTTGACGTGTGCTTTTAACGTGTATATATATATATATATATATATATACGTGGCAATTATATACGTGTTGACGTGTCAATCATATGGAGAGAGTTAGCTTTCTTTTGGTCACACTAGAGGTTATCGCGGTACTCCGCGGGACTATAATTTTTTGAAGATAATCTATACATATAACCTATTGTATTTTTTTATTTAATCCCATATACTTCTATATATCTATATTATATATATTACCCCGCGTTAATCCGTAGATCGATTTAACCCACGGTACACCGCGGAACTATTTTTTCATCTTACATATTTCATTTTTATAATTTTCTATTTTGTATTAAAATTATATAATTCAATTAAATTTTTAGTGTTTTTTTTTAGATTTAACCCGTAGTACATGTGTAATTTAGTTTTTAGGTCAAGCCGTTGGAGATATTTAATTTGTCAAAAGATGAATATTTAGAGCATTTAATTGTATGTTTAAAAACCAAAAATTTGAATAGGTATATTTCCTATATTTTCTCACAAAGATTAGTCAACCATTTGGTAAGTTCAAATTTTAGAAAACTCCCTAGTCATCCGTTTGAAGAATAATAAATGTTCATAAAGTTCTGCTTTCCAAACTTTCAAAGGGATAAAGAGTCCCAGTAAGAAAATTGGTTAATACTTGACAACTACACAAATATATATGTTGGTGATCTATTTTTAATGATAGAAGGGAAAAAACAAACTTTTTTGCCCTAGGGACACTACAACTATTCGGCCGGGGCTGAATGAACATTAAGGGGTTCAACACCAAACACCAGCCAAACTTCAGGAGGAATCTTGGTACCAACACCTGGCGCACCAAACTTGGGAGCCAGACGATATTATCATCTCTCATTAATCAAAGGTTAAAATAAAACATCACATGCATTAATCAAAGATGAATCAAAAATGATTTGCAACGGTTTTAATTTACCCCATTGCAAAGGTTTTAATTTACCCCAATATTATCATTTCTTTGTAGCCTACGTATATGTTGGTCGCAAACTAGCCCATAGGGCAATGTCATGTCGTGAGATTAATTTTAAGAATGATATTAATCAAAGAAAATGCCATTAGGCCATTCAATTTATTTATTTTTTTATCTAAAGAGAGAGAAAAAGATAGAAATTGATATGAAGTTTAAATGATTTTTTTTTGTGGTTTATTTGAAACTTTTAATATTTATTATAACAAAAGTTTTGTTTTTCTTATAAAAATGAAAGTTAATAAACAAAATATTAGGTAAAATTCCACATTACAGTTTAAAAATGATCCCAACTAAGGATAAATGATCCCATAATCCTTAGTTCATGCACCTTGAAACAAGTAGTCATCCTAGGTCTAGTGAATTTTTTGTGCAAACCATACTTTGACATGTAACTGTACTATTCTAGTTTTTAAATTATATAATAGTTTACTTGAAAATATTGTAAAGAAAATCTATTTATCCCTAAAAATAATAGAAAGATATATTGTCTCAAAATAATGGTGAACACCTACGGGTAAGAATGGTGACATTGAAGGTTTAGAAGATGATGAAAATGCTCTTATCGTTGTTGGTATTGATCTAAAGTCACAAGGCGACTAATATCGAAGACTCTTTGAACTCCTTCCCATCGCAGTCTCTCCAGTTTTGTGTGATTCTCTATGGCGATGTTGAAAACGGAGATCGTGGCTATCTCCGTTTTGCTCGTTATATATACTCTCAAACGGTGTTTGAGTATTTTGAATTGGAGGTATGTAACTACTTATTACTAATAAAATTTTTTTTTATTTTTTTTTGAGAGCTATGATCTCTCACCTCCTCCTATCGGTGAGAAGAATTTCCATTTGACTCCAATTTCTCAACTCCTCATCCTTCTACTTTTATCTCTTAACTAGAAGATCACCCGCGCTATACGCATGTTTTTTTTTGTTTTTTTTTTTAATTTTAGTTTATTTGATGTTATATTTTGATAAATTTTATTTTTTAATTATCTAATTATTTACTCATGCAATGAACACCTACTCTCAGTATTAAAATACATTTTCTAGCAACATTCTCAACAATGCATCACTCACACAATCCGTAAACAATCTTCGTCCTAAACCAATTTTATAGATAGTAATGTTGGGATTATAGAACCTCAAAAATTTGATGACCTCACGTACTCCTCACTCTCAGTGTCATATATAGATCAAAAATTTAAGAGAAAAACTTACTCAAACTATTAGTTAATCCACTATACTATTATCTACTCATACTTTGAGTTAAGATTACAAAAATTAGCGAAAAAAACTTTGGAGTATATATAACTAATAAAATAATTTCATTAAAAAATATATATAATAATAAAATAAGTTAGTATTAGTATAATGCAATATGTAAAATTAAATTAAATATATAATTAAATAATAATATACTATTAACCTAAGAAATAGAAGATGTAAAATTTACATTAATTATTTAGTGGACACATGACAAATACTAAAGTGATAGATGTGTCAATCATATGGAGAGAGTTGGCCAACTTTCATATACTCTCTCCGTTTCAAAATATAAGGCGTTTTTGCTAAAAGCACGTCGATTAAGAAGATCTACTTTTAAAAAGTTCAACCAATCATAAAAAAGACTGCATAATAGAAATAATCATAAAATATTAAAATAATATATAATTTGCATAGAAACTTGAAAACGACTTATATTGTGAAACAAAAAAGTTTCTCTAAAACGCCTTATATTTTGAAACGGAGGGAGTATATGATTTGTTAAATTCTGTAATGCTACAATTTTAACAATTGTCCTAATTAGAAATAATGTGAATAAGTAGCTGGTTAGAGATTGTGTAGGTCCAAAGTAGGCCTCGGCATAAAATCCGAAATCCAAAAACCGATCCGAAACCGATCCGAAAAATCCGGCTCCGAATTCGAACCGAATATTCACAAAACCCGAACGGATAATAAATTCTCCTATCCGAATTACCCGATCCGAACCGAAAACCGAAAATAAAATTATATATCCAAAAATATTAGTTATATTTAGCTATAATTTTATAACAAATAACAAAAATATCCTAAATAACCTAGATATCGGAAAGTTTTTAGTTATATTTGTTAAAATTATACATATTTTTGAAAAATTTAGCCAAATTTTAGTGAGATTAAACTATTTTTTATTTAAATTGAACATTTTTTTAGTTTTTTTTACTCGAAAAACAATCCAAAACCGATCCGAAACCGATCCGAATCCGACACTATCCGAACCGAACCCGATCCGAATAGTCATAAAATCCAAACGGATAATAAAATCTTCTATCCGAATTATCCGAATCCGAATAAATCCGAACCGAATCCGATCCGAAATCCGAATGCCCAGGCCTAGTCCAAAGACAGAGTGTACTAGTAATAATGTGGACGACATTTTCAATTTTTTCATCAAACGGCTATTTCTAAACATGGTGGAGCTTCGCTGTCAAATCTCTCTTCTTCTGTTTTTTTCTTTTTTTTTTTCTTTTTTTGTTAATAATTTATTTGTTTTTTTCAAAATAATTACGAGATTAGCCTTAACACTGACGCAATTCTATTTTCCTTTTTCCCGTTCGACGAGCTCTGCCGCGTTATCGTTCTCCGATCTTTTTCCTTTTTTTATTTCTTCTTCTTTCGTTTCTTCAAATTAGGGTTTATTTATTTAGTTGTCGGGATGATTTTGATGCGAAGAAGCATTGTTTCTTGAGGGAGAAGGATTTCTGGGTTTGTTCTTAGGGTTCGTCGACTTGTTTAGGGAGGGAAATTTTCCGGGTTTTTAATATCGCCCGGAATCTGAAATTCGCCGGCAGATATGGCGTCTGACTTTCCGATGAGCCCTCATTTGGAGCAGATTCACGGAGAAATTCGTGACCATTTCCGAGCCCTCGCGTATGCTTTCTCTTGACTCTCTCTCTTCAATTTTCTTTACATAGTTTCTCATTCGAGTGTACATTATTCGAGTGTAGATTCGTTAGGACATTGAAATTGAGTTTCACAGACGAGAAAATAAGAGTTTGATATTTTGTTGAAAGGAAAAAAAAAATTAAATGGATTTTATGTGTGTTTGGTGAAGATAAGGGATATATATAGAGGCACAATTCTTAAGATTTTTCTCTAAAAAAGAGATTCAACATCTATATGCAGGAATGGTTTTCAGAGGTTGGATAAGATCAAGGATTCTAATAGACAAAGCAAGCAACTCGAAGAACTTGCTGTGAAGATGAGAGACTGTAAACGGTATTATTTTTCTCCAAGATATCGTTTTTTTTACTGCAACTTTCCAGTGTTAGATGAGTTTTTCACGAGAACTAATGTTGTAAGCCTTGGGAGTTCCACTTGGTGGATTATGTTTTGCATCGGGGGGAAATGTATTATTTGAGATGGATGAGATGTGTAATCATGAGTAGAAAAGAGGGTGTTTTGGTGATCAACGAGCGCTTCAAGAATTTATATTATCTAATGTAATGTGCTTCACTTTAGGTTGGTTAAGGAGTTTGATCGTGAACTCAAAGATGGGGAAGCTCGAAATTCTCCTGAAGTAAATAAGCAGTTGAATGATGAGAAACAATCTATGGTGAGTTTACTTCTTATTACTTATAATCTGTGTTGATGAAAACTATGGAGGCCATGTTCCTTTTAAGATTCGCGTTAGTGTGATATATATGAAGTAATGATTGGAATAGTAACATAGCTCCTAAGAGTTCAAATTTCCCGCCTCATTTGTTTTCTGGGTCACCATCGAAAAGCATGTTGAGTCAGTGGTATACAAATATAGATTCTGAGGGTTTTTGTGTGAATCTCTCGATATCTCTCCCAAAATTTCTTGCTAGCATTTGGTTTTTATGTCTTTTCAAATTTTGTTTGTTGATATTTCCAGTGATTTATTTGACAGATTAAGGAACTCAACTCTTATGTTGCACTAAGAAAAACGTAAGTACGTCCACTTCCAAGGAGCTGCATTGTCTGTAGTCTGTACATATTTTTTATTTTCTCATATACCAATCATTTTAGCAAATATATGTTGTTTTTTATAGAGAAATAGATCGGTATGTGTTAATACATGCCTATTTGTTGTGTGGCTTCAGGTACTTGAATACACTCGGCAACAAGAAAGTTGAACTTTTTGATACGGGAGCTGGAGTCAGCAGTGAACCTACAGCTGAAGAAAACGTCCAAATGGCTTCATGTGAGTCTGTCTAAAATAAATAGGTCATCTATTCAGTTGATTTTCTTCTGCAACCAGAAAAAGTCCAAAATTGATAAATTGGAAGTTTAAACTGTTTGCTGCCTACATATATTAGAATATGTAGGATAATCGTGCACTATGGGCTCATGGTCTGGCATCATTTGATGTGTCTCAGTAAGTTTCTAGTGGAGGGTAATATAGGACTGTAACGGTTACTTATTTCACCTTTTAATGGGTTTATGTTGGCGGTTTGATGTGTTAGTAAAGTTGTAGTGGAGGATATCTACATGTGTTAATTGTCCTTGAAGAACTATCCTATGGAAAAAATGTGGAACTTTAGGTTGACTCTTGTTTTATCGCTTATATATATAGCAATGTCAAACCAAGAGCTTGTCGATGCTGGAATGAAAAGGATGGACGAGACTGACCAGGCTATTGAACGCTCTAAACAGGTAAGATACAGTCAGATGTGTATACCACTCAGTCTTTGATGCTATATCTCTAGTAACATCCGGTGTTTCTTTCCAGGTTGTGCATCAGACGATCGAAGTTGGCACTCAAACTGCATCTAATTTAAAAGGACAGGTAAAGCATTCACCATTTCTTCCCGATATTCTTATGAGGTGCAGTATCAAATATGCTGACCTAAATTTTTCAGACAGATCAAATGGGTCGCGTTGTAAACGACCTTGACACAATTCAGTTCTCCATCAAGAAAGCTTCGCAGCTGGTGAAAGAGATAGGAAGACAGGTTTGTCTCATAGTCATAGGACTTAATTTTCGGACACACTTCAAAGTTCCCTTTTTACCTTAATTCTTTCTTGTCTCAGGTGGCTACCGATAAATGCATAATGGCGTTCCTGTTTCTGATTGTATGTGGTGTTATAGCAATAATTGTTGTGAAGGTAATCACTATTGCACTCTCCCACTTTTGCCATTATGGCCCAAATAAAGTTATGATTTCCTTAAGCAAGTTTTAACTCTGCTTAAATAAAAACACAGATCGTGAACCCAAACAACAAAGACATCAGAGACATCCCTGGGCTAGCTCCTCCAGCGCAATCGAGAAAGCTCTTGTACTTCAGAGAATAGCTTTTTGACAGGGCCGAGAGGGAAGGTTTGGTGCATATTACACTGTTGCGTGTGCGCACTTTCATGAAAGGGGGCTTGTTTATGTCATTTAAATCTGAGCTTTGATTAGAGTTTTGTATCATATATCATCATTCTTTTTAACGTATGACCACATGTTGTATAATTTAATAGCGAGTTCAACATATTTTTATAAGATCCATCTTATTGTCCAAGACTCTAAGAATCCACTCGTAATCATTATAGTAATTTATTTGTTCTACCCTTAATTTTTTTGAACATTATAATGATCCACCAATTTGTAAAATCAGTTCATAAATTTATAGTATTTCCAGCTAATATAGAAAGGAAAACATCAAACCCAGGGCCACACTCAGAACTGTTTGGATCATAAAGAGTAGACCAAGGCCGGGTCCGGGGCTAACGCTGTCTAGTGAAAACGTTTATAACTTTCAGAGACCCTACAATAATTTTGCGTTTCTTTTTTTTGTAGAACTAACAATGTTAAGTAATCCGAGGTAAATTCTATTTAAAAGGTTTGAGTTTCAAAAGAGATAAAACACATTTTCACCTGAGAAGGGAAACAACATAAGGATCATTCTCAGACGGCGGTGTGGTTTCCAAGCTGAGTCCGCCCAATATGCGACAACCGCGATGTTATCAGAGGGGCTTCTTCATCATTAAGCTCTAATCCTCTTGGGCTCCCCCCATCTGAAGAATTCTTCTCCTTCCAATCCTGCTCAATCATTTGGACAAAATCCATATGAATATACATTGGTGAAGCTCTCGCTATCTTTTAAGTCTAATCTTTTAACCGTTCAAACAAAACCACATAAGATTAGGTTTTACTTGGGTGAGTACAATTCGTACACCGACAAACCGAATTGGACCTGGATTGAACATCCCTTCTACTCTTCAGAACTATTGAATGAATAAGTAAAACTCAGTAAACAGATTAATTGATTGTACCTTCGTGATTCGATCTGGGAGGCTGTCGCTGGTTGGTTGAATCGCTTTAACATCCTTGATTTTTATGTAATTGTACATTACAACACCACAGAGCGCTGCACCAAACACATATGACAAGAAGAAGATAGTTAACCAATGCACAACATTTAGAGTTCATCCAATTAATTTTTGTGATAGAAGAAACAAACCTATTGCATATCCAGTAATATTCAGCCCAGTGATTGTGGACTCAGGAAATATGACAGTGGAGAGGGCTATGAGAATCCAGTCTTTGAGAACCCCAGCAACCCGGATTGTTACAGCACCTGTTCTTCCGATTACTAAGAATATGGAGAAGTTTAAGGCAAGTGCGCAGAGAGCGTTTGAGAAAAAGATCCAGAAGTTGAATTGGATCTGCGAGACATCTATATTCGGTTTCTCCAGTACATACCAAGGCAAGGAAAGGAAAACAAAGCTGCACAAAATCAAGAAAAATATTGTATGTTTAATGTGCAATAGAGTAGATTCTTTTATCTAGCAAGAAATAATACATGGTGTTGACAAACGTGCGCAGTGATGCAACTTAGGACAATATAAGACAACAAGAACACAAGGTCAAGTTTATTATTAAGCTGATATTCAGATAAGAAAGGTTGAGCTGTGTTAGGTTTCAGGACTGCGTACCTGCATGGAGCTATATAGTATAAGCTGGTGACTGGGTTCAATGTCAAGCCCTTCTTCTGAAGAAGAACTTGAGTAAGCACCAGTCTAAGTGCTTCAGCAAAGATTCCCATGACCTGGTAGACCGTGCCGATTACATTGAAATTAATTTCCCCATAGGAAGATACTACAACTCCAACACTGACCAGCACCATGTTCATGAACACGTCACACCTTGCTTTGTCCGTGCCACAAACAACGGCCATAAGAAATGTTGCTACCGGCACTGTCATTTCATATTCATGTGTTAAAAAGCTTTGCAGCATGATCAAAGATTCAGAAACTAATATAGGTTTTGAGCCAAAAAAGAAGTTGTGTTTTCACATACTTAGTGCTTTGAGCATCTGTATGAAGGCAACTGAAATGTGCAAATATGCAGTATTTCCAAACCTGTAAAAGGAGTAAACAGAATAGTCAAGAGACAATTCAGACAGCAGGTAGGACAAGCAATGTAAGGATTCATAATTTGAAAGTTCCAGTACTAGGAGTCTAGGACAGGGAGTATCTATAAACCTAATAAATGCCACTGAATATGGAACAAAGACTTACCAGAGACTGGATGCAAAGAATGCGCTTATAGGCACCACACAGGTCACATATCTGGAGTCCAGAAAATATGTTAAGAAAGAAACAGATTATGGAAAGTACATAGATGCCAAAAAATGAAGTAAAGATTACAGTAAGCTGGCTTACATTTCGAAAGTCATTTTAACAGGAGAGACAACCTACATCACAAAGAAGATACTTATTACCTAACTATTATAAGGAGTACTCCGCATAAGATGAGCATGAAACAAACTCCAAACAAATGGACATATGTGACATTCCTTTAAATGGAAGTGTAAACGCTGTACCTTGAAAACTCGAATAAGAAGGAAAGCCACAAATCCAGAAAATCCCATATGGATCATTGTCAATGTTATAGGAAGTGGAAAATTGAAGTATTTCGGAGATAGAACCCACTGCAAATGAAATCCAAAAAAACGATAGATACTAATTAAACTCAGCCTCTATAGTCAGTAACAAAGATTATGAAATAGTACTATTCTACGGCACAAAGGTCTTATTTGACGAACACAACATTCGATTCAAACCTCAAATTCTAGTTTATACATGCTACAACATGCAAAATCCCACAGCAACACAAACTATATGAAGAAGATCTACATAAACAAGTAAAGTAGTTTCCGCAATCACCTTGTTATACAGTATAACTCCAGAAGAAAGAAGAATGTAGATCAGTAAGTAGATATAGGTAAGTACAAGCGTCTTGTTTATCATCTTCGCCATTTTTGCTCCTCTCCGCAATCACCGTAGATGCAGTTTTCTTCGATAGTCACAATATAGGGAAGTATAATCCCACACGCAACATAAGATTCAGAGATTCCATAAACGAAATCTGAAATCCAAAACAAATCAATCGGAAACTTCAGATTTAAGTTTACACACACAAAAACCCCAAAAAATCCTAAAATCACTAAGGAGAAATCGAGAGATCACAAAATCAGATCCGGAGAAACTAATACCTCGAAATGAGAAGACGAAATGCGAATCTCGGCTTCGGGAACAAACGTGCGAATCTAGTTTAACATAACGAAAGGGATCAGATACGAACACCGTAGTAGATGACGAAACTTTTTCCGATAACTCCAAGAAATTTTCCGATGAAGAAGATGATAAATGCGTCAATGGCGAATCGATGAAGCAGGTGAAGTGAGTCAGAAACTGGGAGAGAGCTTGCTACTGTGTGCATATAATGCTCTCTCTGCATATTGGAAGAAAGAGAGAGAGAGAGAGAGAGATTTATTATTATAACTTTTTTAGAGAATATTAAATAAGAGAAATAATGAATTTGGTGAAATTAATGACGGTGGAGATGATTTTTCAGGACGTAAATCTTTGATCTAACGGCTATGGTTTTATGTCCTTGACGGGGGACTTACTTCAGCTTATTTTTAATTAGTTATTTAGACTGAATAATGGGCCCATTATATTCCAAAACTATATCTCTCATCTTTTTAAAAATATAAAATTGTATATACTTATTTAATACGAAAAATTATTAGATAATAACGTATAATACAAACTAGATGTGTGCATTGACACGGAATTAAATATTAATTAAAATAAGTATCAAACAAATTGAAAAAAATGATTTTATGGTTTGGAAATTTTTTTTGATGTTTCAATTTGGATTAGATTCGAGTTTTGCTCAATATAATTAAGAAAAGATTAGTGAAGATTTCAAATAATAGTAAAAAGATTTGTACATCTCGCCGTAGACTTTTTTTGTAGAGTTAATTTTCTCCATGTGTTTTTTCTTCTGCTTATCTGTTTTTCTTTTTCGTAATAAATTATTCTTTTATGTAGAGATTTAACTTATCTTTTTTTTTTTTTTTGAATAAAATGTAAAATTTATTCGAAAAAAACGTTTGTACATCAAGTGCGTCGTTTGGTTAAGAAATTACAAAGCATAATTGAATCCATATTACTCCCTCTTTGCGTTTATTTTGAAGCAAACCAAGCTTCCATGCACCCATCATACCTTCTGTCGCCTTGTTCTCGAATAGAAGAGATTCTATTTCGAACTTGTTTGTCGATGTTCCTAAGAAGCGTGGTGGCACTGGTTTTTCCCCATGCCTCCGGTTGTTTCGCTCTCTCCATAGTGAGTATATGGCCAGCTGAAACGTGTACCGTACTAGGAAAAGGTCGACGTTACTCAATGACGAGTCTGTGAGAATTCTTAGAACATCAGTCCATGTGGTGGTGAATTTCTGTCCAAGTATCCTGTTGCTTAACCCCGACCAGACTTCTTCAGAGTAGCAACACTTGAAGAATAGGTGGTTTCTGTCTTCTATTGGTTCATTGCAAAAAGCACAAGACGGGTTCACTCCGTTTTGCCAAGCTAGCATTCTGTCACCAGTTGCTAAACGATTTTTTGTTGCAAGCCATGATATGAATGAGTACTTAGGGGTGGCGTGGAGGAACCAAATACCTTCATACCATTCCATTCGTGGCCTTGCTTCTCGGATCGCATCCCATGTCTCATATGTGCTGAATCTTTTTTTGTAACGGTCTCCCTTCCCTCGCCATAACGCAACATCTCTGTCTTGTGTCAATCCCCTTTTTTGAATTGCATCAATCTCTGCTTCTATTTTGTTGAGAGTGTCAACTCTGTGCCTTCGACGTTTATGTATTGCAATCACCTTTGCTAGTGAGGACTGAATAGTTATCCCCAAATCAATACAACCTCTTTGACCTGTGAGATCAATGAGCCTCCCCATTTGTGACCAATTATCATACCAGAATGAGATATCTTGTCCGTTCATCACCTTTTTTTTGATAAAACCTACAGCGAGTTCCCTGTATTTGAGGAGTTTTCTCCACATCCATGACCCAATTGAAGTCGTTTCTTTGATTGACCAGAAAGATCCCTTTCTTATGAGGTATAGCTTTATCCATTGTGCCCAGAGAGAATCGGAGGAGGTTACTCTCCAAATAAGTTTTAAACAGCTAACTTGATTTGCCTCATGTATTGATCGTAGGCCTAGACCACCTTCTTCTTTAGGTAAACATACTTCACTCCATGCCACCTTAGCTTTCTTAGGGTTCAGATCAGGCCCCGACCATAAGAAAGCTGAGCTAAGTCTGTCTATTTCTTTTATGCAGGCACTAGGGAGCCTAAATGCTGAAATCCAAAAGTTGGTGAGGCTTTGGATGACAGAGCTTATGAGCTGCAGTCTCCCTGCAAAGGAGAGGTGCCTAGCGGTCCATCTTCCAATTCTGTCTCTAATTCTTTCAATGAGGGGGGAGTAGTCGGAGGTCGTCATCCTCTTTGTGAGTAAAGGGAGACCAAGATATCGAACTGGTAGTTGGCCGGAGTCAAAAGGAAAGCTTTGGAGGATCATTTCTTTATCCTGTTCAGCGATCCCTGCCATGTATAATGTTGACTTTTCTAGACTTATCTTCAGGCCAGAGAACTCTGCAAAATCAGTGAATAACTGGAGGATACCTTCAATCGATCTTTTTTTCCCATCCGTGAACACAAGCAGGTCATCCGCAAAGCACAAGTGGGTCAGCTTAAGATTTTGGCATTTTGGGTGAAAGCCGATCTTCCTTTCTAGAGCAGCCCTGTCTAGCATCTTTGATAAAACATTCATGCATATGACAAATAGGTAAGGAGAAAGGGAGCAGCCTTGCCTTAGTCCTCTTGTACTTTGAAACAGACCCGATAATTCTCCATTGACTTGCACAGAGAATGAAGCAGTTGTGACACAGAGTTCAACCCATTGAATAAATTGCTGGGGAATATTCAAAGCCGATAGCGTGTTGAGGAGGAAAGGCCACTGTACCGAGTCGAAAGCTTTGGATATGTCTATCTTTATAGCACTTCGAGCTGATACCGTGTCTTTGTGATAGTCCTTTACTATTTCTGACGCCAACAAAACATTTTCCATCAGAAGACGATCCTTTACAAATGCTGACTGACTTGGCGAGATAAACTGCGGTAGAATGGTTTTGAGTCTGTTTGCGATGATTTTGGAGATTACTTTGTAAATTACATTGCAGCATGAGATGGGGCGGTAGTCTTTCATCTCTCTGACCTCTTTCTTTTTTGGTATCAGCGCTAGAATGGTGGCATTCATACCTTTCGGGATGAAACCTTTGATGAAAAAAGATTGTATAGCCACTACAAAATCTTTTTCAACAATTGACCATGCTTCTTTGAAGAATTCTACCGTATAGCCGTCAGGTCCAGGGGCTTTGTTGCTTGGCATTGAGAATAAAACCTTCCTTATCTCCTCTGTGGTTACCTCTCGAGTCAGTCTCAAGCCATCCTCCTCTGTACACTGAAAATTTATGAGATTTTGCAGCTCCTCTATTGTTTTACCCTGGTAATGATCCGGCTTGTATCCAAGAAATTCTTGAAAATACCTTGCAGCCTCTGTTTTCATATCCTCTTGAGAGTCCACTATTGAACCATCTGCACATTTGATCTCTTTAATAGCATTTCTCACCTCCCTGAGCTTCGCAGTTTTAAAGAAAACTTTGTTATTTCCATCTCCAACCTTTAACCAGTGTAGTTTAGATTTCTGCTTTAAGTACTTCTCTTCCAATTCTGAGAGATGAAGCCAACGATTGTAAGCTCTTGATTCGTTCTGAATTGCCATAGTTGTTGGGTTTTGAAGTGTTTCTTGCTGACAATTACAAAGCTCTGCATACGCCTCCTTTGTTTTCTTTGTCAGGTTACTGAACTTGTTCTTACTCATTATTCTGATCCTACCTTTCAACACTTTCAGCTTTTTCGAAAAACGATATAGAGCAGATGTGGAGTGAAAAAGGAAGCCAGTGGATTCCCAATAATCTCGCATCATGGGTAAGAATTCTGGATCAGACGTCAAAGCATTGGTAAACTTAAAAGGCTTACGAATGCAAGGCTTGTCAAGTTGAATTTTTATTCGACACCGTAGATGATCAGAGCAGCCCCCAGCTTCAAACACACTATAGGATTGTTGATAGTCAGTTATCCAATGATCATTCACCAAAACTCTGTCCAGTTTTTTGCAAATTAGCTCACCATCTCTTTCTCTTTTATTGCACCAAGTGAAACACGGCCCTTGTGAGTTCATATCACTCAAAGAACAGTATCTTACCAACTCTTGAAAATCACGCATTCCCACGGGAATTGTAGGATTGACATCATACAAAGAGTGCTCCTCTCCCTTTAAAATTTCATTGAAATCACCATATATCAGCCACGGTTTGTTGCGAAACAGAGGAGAGTCCTGGTGACTTCGCAGTATATGATTAATTTCACGTGTTAACTTTCGTTTAAACATCTATAAGTATTAAATGTTTTCGCAAAATAAAATCGACCATACAAAAACAGCGAAAAAGACTGACGATACAAAAACATTGAAGTAGAACAACATTTATAAAATCTAGAAATGTAGCAAAACACCATCTCAATCAAATGTAGTATTAGGAATTAGGAATGAGTTTTCTTCCCACACAAACTACATCACAGGAAACATCAAATATGAATCTATATTGTTTTCTTTGGCATTTGCAAGAAAAAGTAAGAACAGAACTTTGATTTTGCTACTTCGATTCTAATGTCAGCAGATAGACTAGTCTTCTCAGTATACCCTAAGTTAAATCTTTTAATGCTGCAATGAAAACAATAAGAGGAAAAATCAAATGTTAAGTTTTGGATTAATACCTTGGCAACATCTTTGGGAGGGATATAGTCTCCGAGTAGTCTTGGATCAACGCATTGCTTCACTTTGTCTTTGCCTAAGAGAACACACAAAATATTTCATTTCTCTAATTTTTCTCTTCACTGAATGGGTTGAGTAATATATATATATATACAAAATAGTCTTAAAGTTATCTCTTATATATCAACACAAGCAAACAAGAATCTTGAGCTAAAGTTAAATATAACAACAGTGAGGATGTTACTCGCTTTATTTTCTGTTTATCCTTTTTCATTTTTTTTTTTCTTTTTACGTGTATTGCAAATTCCTATTATAATATCTCAATAAAAATGTAGTATCAGAATTTAGAAATGAGTCTTTTGAAATCATATAAATTTACCATGCACATACAAAATGTGGTTCTTCTTCCCACACGCAAACGACATCACAGAATATAATGATATAGGTCTGATACACAGGTCTTGAAAAGTGGGACTTGAATGAAGAGTTAATGAGATATTAGAAATTTACACAAATACAGAACAAAATGAACAATACACTTTGATTAATCATCATGAAGTAGATGAGATGGGCTATATAATAGTTGAATAGGGGAATTCCTATGTGGAGACTGGAGTCTGAGGAGAAGAACAAGGAGGGTTTAAAAGAGGTTGAAGTGTCTTCACCACAATGCTCATGTCTGGTCTCAAATCTGGATCATACTGCACACAGAGTGCAGCCACCGCGGCTAGCTGATCATTATATCACACCATATACATATAGCAAATAAAATCAGGCTCATGAAATATAATGTTTCAATCGTCATGTAGATGAATGCTAACAGCAATTATCGCTTGTTTTCTTGCCACTTGCAAGAAAAGGTAACACCAGAACTTGGGTTTCGCTACTTTGATTCTAATGTCAGCAGATAAACTAGTCTTCTAAGTTATACCTTAAACTAAATCATTTTTGCTGCAATGAAAAAGTGTGAGGAACGGGATTAATACCTTGGCAACAGCTTTGAGAGGGTACTCTCCGAGTAGTCTTGCATCAACGCATTGCTTCACTTTGTCTTCGCTTAGTTTAGGGGTTGCCTAATAAAACACACAACATAAGTTACATTTATATATATATGCCTAAGGAGGGTTTTTTCTTCCAAGTTTTCTTGATGGTTTTTTGACCCTCTTTTGTCATTTTTCAGAGACTGAATTAAAAATTGGTCTTCTTAAAAGCTTCTCTTGTCAATGTAGCAAACCAGAATTAGAAGCAGAGAAGATCTTCACTAATCATTACCCATGTCACTAGTCTTTCTTGTCCACGCGGTAAGGTATTATCGAATGGTTTACGGCCCGTAAGGAGTTCCAACAGAACAACGCCAAAAGTGTAGACATCGCTCTTTGTGGTCAATATTCCTGTCTTTGTGAATCTGAAATAAATAACTCAAAATGTTTACAGAAGACGTGTAGCCCCTAGATTAATCTGCTGTTCAAGATAAAGAACATATTTAAAAGGGAATTACTCTGGACAGTGAAAAGGAAGTAATCTTAGTAGCAGACGATCCAGACAACTTAAATGAACGCGAGCAGCCATGTCAGGGGATTGATATTGATAATACAGATAAAATTCACCAATTTTGGCAACATCATCATCAAACAGAAGTATGTTGCTGGATCTGATCTCTCGGTGGATAACCTGAGGGTTCACTTTCTTATGCAAGTACTCAAGTCCTCTGGCTACACCAACAGCGATTTTGACTCTTTGTTGCCACGTCAAAACAGGACCTTGTAGTGCTCCTGTGACACCATTTTGACCTGCACCAAAGAGACACCACATTGTATAGTTTTTTTTCCTCTTGTATGTTAGTTTTTAGATGAATAATTATTGAGTGACTGATCCGTATCCGAGTGGCAAGCGATGGTTTACGTTAATCACTCACCGTGAAGAACATCATGAAGAGACCCTTTAGGAGCATATTCATAAGCAAGAACACGGAGAGGGCCATCAACACAATAACCCATAAGTGCAACAACATTCTCGTGTTGCACTCTTGAAACCATTGATACCTGTTATAATTTTCTATATTATTAACAAAAAAGAAAAAAGTAGACAGAAAATTTCCAAAGGAGTGGTTTGATGCTGGATCATTTAAGCAAGTGATGATGGCCCATAAAAACTGAAATGATGTACTCTATAGTATCTACCTGGGAAAGAAATTCTTGATCTGAATGCTTAGTAGGGTAAAGTTTCTTGATGGCAGCTTCTTTACCGCTTTTAAGAACACCGTAAAACAATTTGTCATATGAACCCTCACCGATTAATACCTCTGAACTAAAGTTATCGGTTATATCTTTCAATTCATCCACTGGAATGGCCGGTACAGCAATAGGCTGCATGTGAATTACTGGCTGGTTCATGGATGAATCTGCTCTTTGATGGTGGCCTCCAAAACAGAAACAGCCCATTACACCCTTTTCTCAGACGAGCTAACTTAACTGTAATAGTGTATAAAGAAAACAAAATGTGAACAAAAGGTATAAAAAAAAAGAGAGGTTTGAGCAGCTTCTCAATCTTATTGATAACATAGAGATTGTTCAGACACCGAACTCTAATGAACTGTTTGCACCAAACTTTATGCATGCACAGTGACATGCAAAAAATATATTAATGAAGTGTCAAAAAAAACATTCGTGAAGACTGAGATTCTAGCGGCTTAAGTTTCTATCTCTTGCTTATAAAAGTGTATATATAAACAAGGTTACATAGACAACAAACAGTTTTAAAAACAAGATTTGCCTATCTAAGAGAAGAGAGTAAAATGGTAAGATCAATGATCTTATCTCTCTATATTATTCAACCCATTAAATTATCAAACACGAACAACTGAGACATTATGTTCCGTAAACCTAGAATTTTCACAAGTCAACGAGATATAAACTAGCGATTCGGATTTCAAACTTGAAAAGTTAGAAACAATCAACTCCTTTTTAACCCTCGAAAGGAAGTTCCTTTTTGTAAAGGTTTGATATTCAAGCAAAGTACCAAAAGGGAAACTCGTAACAGAGGAAGAAGAAGCATTTACCTTTTGCTACAAGAAAAAACTTCGAAAGGAAAGCAAGAGAAAGAGAAAACTTGAAATTCTCTAATGAGAGTCGAGTCTTTGATAGTTGTTTACCCTTTTAGATAAGAATTTTGAAAATGTCTAATGATCCTTAGCCACTTTTTAAATAACTAGATGACCATTGTTGCCTTGTTGGTACTTACTTGGAACAAGTCTAATATGGGTCAAATACTTAGAATACCCATTCAATGGATCGCAGTCAAAATCCCCCAAACAGCAATAGCACTGAGTCGCATCGCATAGCAACTTCATCGTCGTCCATACATACATCTCCTTCATCATCTCCTTGATTTTCTGTTTATTTTTTTTTAACTTGTACTGCAAATTCCTATTATGATATGATTAATATCCAGGCCTGGAGCTAAAACATCATCTCAATGAAAATGTAGTATCAGAATTTAGTAATAAGTTTTCTGAAATCACAGGAAACATAAAATATAATGATATACATGTCTTGAAAAGTGGGACTTGAATGAAGAGTTAATGAGATAAAAAGGTCCCAGAAATTTACACAAATACAGAATAAAATGAATAATATCATGAAGAAGATGAGATATGGGGGATTGAATATTTTGATCAGTAGGGGTTCCTATGTGGAGTCTGAGGAGCAGAACGAGGAGGGTTTAAAAGAGGCTGAAGTGCCTTCACCACAATGCTCATGTTTGGTCTAAAATTTGCCTCATATTGCACACAGAGTGCAGCCACCGCAGCTAGCTGATCATTATATCGTATCATATGGCAAATAAAATCAGACTCATGAAATGTTTCAATCGTAGATGAATGCGGAGAGCGATTATCACTTGTTTTGTTTGGCCTTTTGCAAGAATAGGTAACATCAGAACTTTGGTTTCGCTACTTAGGTTCTAATGTTAGAGCTCAGAAGATAAACTAGTCTTCTAAGTTATACACTAAGTTAAATCTTTTATGCTCTAATGAAACAATGAGAGGGAAGCAATTTTGAGATTAATACCTTGCCAACAGCTTTGGGAGGGTACTCTCCGAGTAGTCTTGCATCAACGCATAGCTTCACTTTGTCTTCACTTAGTTTAGGGGTTGCCTGAGACAACACGCAACACTTTATTATTGAGAAACAGTATTTTATTTCTAGGAAACATTTAGAGTCGCATTAATCTATTCGGACAAAATTCTGGCTTTTCCAGCATCTTTAGTTTCAATTCTATTGGCCTAAGGAGGGATTTTTATTCCAAGTTTCTTTGAGGTTTTGACCCCATTTTTGTCATTTTGAACAGACTATATTAGTTTATCAAAAAATTGGTCTTCTTTAAAGCCATTCTTGTCAATGCAGTAAATCAGAATTAGAAGCAGAGAAGATTGCACTAAAACTAATCATTACCCATGTCACTAGACTTTGTTGTCCACGTGGTAAGGTATGATCTACTGGTTTACGACCCGTAAGGAGCTCCAGCAGAACAACGCCAAAACTGTACACATCGCTCTTTGAGCTCAACGTTCCTGTCATTGCATATCTGAAATACATAACACAAAGTGTTTAAGCTTTAGATTCGTCAATGAGAAGAGGAACTAAATCCATGTGAATGAATAAGTGACAGTGTGACACAAAACATTAGAGCATGGGAACCAAACATTTTGAATAAATACGCGTGTAGCCTGTGGATTAGTCTGAAATCTGAATGAAACAAACTGAAAATAACTGCTCAAGATAAAGAAAATGCTCAAAAGGACATTACTCTGGAGCGTGATAACCAAAGGTTCCTAGCACACGAGTTGAGTGAAGGCGAGCAGCCATGTCAGGGGCTTGATCAGACAGATCAAAATCACCAATTTTGGCAACATCATCATCAAACAATAGTACGTTGCTGGATTTGATGTCTCGGTGGATAACCTGAGGGCTCACCTTCTCATGCAAGTACTCAAGTCCTCTGGCTGCACCAACGGCGATTTTGACTCTCTGTTGCCACGTCATAACAGGACCTCTCAGTGCTCCTTTGGCACCTTTTTTGCCTGCACCAAAGAGTCACCACGTTCCATTAGTTTCTTCGTCCTGTAACTTACTTTCCAAGCGATGGTTTACGTTTAATCACTCACCATGAAGAGTATCATGAAGAGAACCTTTAGGAGCAAATTCATAAGCAAGAACACGGAGAGGGCCATCAACACAATAACCAAGAAGTGCAGTAACATTGTCGTGTCGCAATCTCGAAACCATTGATATCTGTTAACTAAGTCAGTAACAAAACGAAAGTAGACAGAACACCCAAAGGAGTGGTTTGATGCTGGACCATTTTCACATAGGACACATAAGGACTAGGTTAAGCCGAGGCGATTCTTTTTGGCGATATTTACAAGATGAATGCCCATGAAAAAATGCAATGATGTATTTAATAACACCTACCTGGGAAAGAAATTCTTGATCTGGCTGCTTACTAGAGTCAAGTTTCTTGATGGCAGCTGCCCCACCGCTTCTAAGAACACCGTAAAACACTCTTCCATATGAACCTTCACCAATCAAGGCCTTTGGACCATAGTTATCGGTTATATCTCTCAACTCATCCACTGGAATGGCTGGTACAGAAATAGGCTGCATGGGAATAACTGGCTGGTTCATGGGTGGATCAGCTCTTTGATAGTGGCCTCCATTGTAACCTTTACAACAATTAAATTCCCATTGCTTAGAAGCCAAAGAATTAACACTAAGAGAAGCACTGACAAGTAATACAGTTGACATAGGAACTGAGGTACCTGCTGGGTTATGCGCTGGTCTTGGACCAGTGTCAGCAGCGCTGCGAAAATCCTCACTCCCACACCAACCAAAACAGCTCATTACAATCTTCTCTCCCACGAACTAACTAAACTGTAACAGTATATATCACCAAACAGCTTCTTAGAATTATTGATAACAAAGAGATTTTGCAGATACCAACAAAAGCTAGACAAGAAATGATTAGACGAATTTGTCTAAGATGTGCAATGATTAAGCTTGTACATTTCGCTAATCATGAACAGAAACATGTTCAGACACAAATTTTTAAGTAAATGTTGTTGCAAAAGAGAAAAGAAGAAAACTTTCAGAGAACCTCGCAGAATAGTTACCAGTAAAAACCAAAAAAAAGGAATAGTTATCAAGATAAGGTTTTTGAGCATTTACAAAAACAGAATTATGGAAATTCAACAAAAATAAAGTCAATATCAGAAGAAGTAAATAGTTCATAGTTCCGATCAAAATCTCAAACACCATAAAACAACTGAGAGAGACATTTATGTACCGGAGACCAAGAATTTTCACAAGTCAACGAGGGTTTAACCTAGGATATAGATTTCAAACTTGAAAAACTCGAAATCAATTCCGAGATTCACTTTAATCATCAAAATCGACATGAAATTCGAAACCCTGGATCCTTTTAAAAAAGGGTTTTTGACATTTAAGGAAAGTACCAAAAAGGGAAACTCGTAACAGAGGAAGAAGAAGAAGAAGCGTTTTTTTACCTTTCGCTAACAAGAAAAACTTGGAAATGAGAGAAGAAGAAATTCTGTGTCGAATCTTCGATGGTGGTTTTAGACGACAATTTGAAAAAGTGTTTTGTGATGATGATCGTCTTTAACACTTTTTCAAAACAAATATCTAAATGACCATTGTTGCGTACTTTCACTTACTTGGCAGAACACGGAAATACCTAAAATACCCCTTAAGTTGTATTACAATTACATTCATATCCCCAAAACAACCTTTAGTAGTACTGAAACGGAAGCGACTGCTCTCTCTCGGCGCCGTCGTATCAAAAACCTCACCGCCGTCGCCATCAACGCAGTTCTTCATTTCAGGTGAGCCTTTCTTCGTTCTTAACGTTGTTTCTCCTTCCGATTTAGTCTCCTAGATTCATTTTTTTCTTCAATTTCATTTTTTGTTTCCTGGGTTCATTGTTTAGCTCATTGTTCTCATTGTTCCTGGATTCATTTTTTGGCTGCTAGTTGCTAAATATTTGTTCCTTAAGGAAACAAAAGACTGATGGATTTGACTACACAGGAATGGCGAACAAGATTGCAATGTTTCTCTCGGAGGCAATGAACAACAATGTTGTCATAAACACTTGTCTGGGAGTATCATTTGTGGTTTTGGGATTGAGATCTGATAAACAGCAAAAGTATGTTGAGGCCTTAGCAGAGCAGAAGGATTCACTCTTCAAGTCTAATAAGGAAATGAAAGTCACAATGTGGGAGTGGAAACAGCAGCTCTTTGCTGAAGCCGCTTCTGCGGGTAATGCCGCTGTTGTTCCTCTGTCGACGCTTAAGGCCATCTATGGCGAAGCCACAACAACCACTCAATCTGGTAATTACATATCTATACAAACTAGTGTCATGTTTGTCTATAGATGGAGAACAGGAAAAAGATTATTCCGTAGATTTAATAAGTGAAAAGGGGTTACTGGTTTTTAGAATGTGTAGTTAGGTATCACTGAGTGAAATATATGTGCTTGTGATGGGATGCAAGTACAAACTAGGGTAGCTTTGTGGGGTTGATAAGGAAATCTGTTGCACTTATCGAATACAAAGAGAAATGGGGTTAGAATCGATATGCATTAGAGCGTAATGGAAAGGGAAATAGACATGGTCATGATTAGAAGCCGCGTTTGGATATTAGCTGAGTGTTCACTAACTGGTTTTATGTTCTTTCTTCCAGGTGACACAGTCAAGGAAGAGTCTAAAGTGTCTACCCCCAAGATCATGATATGAGAGGTTGTTAAATTTTTGGTAGGTTCATTTCACTTAAAATGATTCACTCAGATAAAGTAAAGATTAGAACTTAGTCTCATCGTTTGCATAAATTGCATTTGTAAAACTAGTTTGGCATCGAGTGTCTGTTGTTGTGATCCTTGTTGATCCTCGTAAGTAAACAGTAAAACCAAAGCTCCGATAATAAGGAAAGAACCTCTTTTGGGTTTATTGTTAAGGCATTCATTATGGACCCATGGGTCCCAATATTGAAGCCGATTAACTTGATGATTAGGCCTTGTTGGTTGGATTAAATCGAATCTTTGTAACATGAAATGAAATTTTTTTATACCATGGTGATCAACTTGATCCTTAATAACATCATTTCATATATTATTACAAAGGGTGAATAAAATACATGATTTTGCATACATAGATAAATATTAGAATATCATCCTAAACAGAAGATAAGGAATGTCAGTTTCAAATTCATCATTTGCGAGCTGAGGATGATGGTTAGGTAGAATGGTCGAATTTACAAGTCGGACCGGATTTGCAAATGCCGAAGCGACTGTAATGTGGGCAAATGGCTTGATCAGGTCTTAATGGTAAGCCCTTGTCATTGAGAGGACATGGAGGCTCTCTCGGCGTTATATTCTTGGGGTGATGGTATTTGCAATTTTGTTTCAGATAACAGTTTCCAGTTCTAAGATAATAGCTGCACTCTGGTTCGCCTGGACGTTCTGGGAAATTTCCGTCGGACATATTTTCTCTTCTCTTAGTCTTGTTTGTGCATATACTTGTATATCTTCTACATATATATATATATATATATATATATATATATATATATATATATATATATATATATATATCATCAGAAGAAGAGATCTAGCATTGAATACTAAAATGACATGTTTTGAAGAAATATAGTATCATCTTTAACATTTACTATATTTGGTTATAATTGTATTTAAACAAAATTATAATATCATGTTATATTTATATTTTTTACATTTAATTATTACTTAATTAATATTTAATAGATTTTCCTAATATTTTAGATAGATACATTTAATCATATAAATCTTCTTAATATAAACTACATGTGACATAAGTCGTTTCATGAGTCACTTGCTTTTTCCGAGAGGAGTAACAACTAACAACATCATGTTCTTAAAATTAGATATAAAAGTTATGAATACAAAAGTTATGAATAGTGATAATGTAGTCGCAGGCAGGATCGATCTGGTGACCCAAATAACTCAAAACTTGTGAACCATAAATCGATCAATCAATGAACCGTGTGATCCAAGACTCTTTAGTTTTAACCTAAGAATTTTCAAGTTTTAGGTTTTGAGGCCCATTAAGATTAAATGAAATGTATTTTGATCAGTGTTCAAGAAAGCACTAGACGCTAGCGGGCGGTGACCCAGTGCCTAGCGCCTAGATCGTCCAATCGGGACCTAGGCGATTTTTTAGGCGGTTTAGACGTTTATAACATAAAAATTTATAAATATGATATTATATATAAAAGTTATATAAAATATCTATATAAAACTAAAAATTATGAAATTATAAACAAAAACTAGATAAAACATTTATTTATATTTATATTAAACAATATATAAATATTTATAACTATATATATAAATAAAACCCTTATTGAAATTGAAAAATACAATAAACAAGATCTATATAATTTTAGGCAGTCAAGGCGGTTATCTAGGCGTCGCATGAGAGCCTAGCGCCTAGTCGGGACCTAAGCGACCGCCTAGACCGCTTTTTAGAACACTGATTTTTTATAAATAATAACTATTTCTAAATTGATCGATCCCTAGACAAGTCTCAAGTCAAAACCCTTAAACTCCCTTCTGAGTTCTGATTTTGTTCTATGCAGTCGGAGAAGAAGTAGAAGATCTCAAGTTTGATCAAACCCTATGATATATGTCGAGCCCTAAGAAGATGACGACGACAACACAACAGGCACTTCCCAATGATTTGCTATTGAGCTGCATTGCACGTGTCTCTAGATTGTACTATCCTACTCTTTCCTTAGTCTCCAAGAGCTTTCGATCTCTCGTTGCTTCACCGGAACTTTACAAGACCCGATCTCTACTAGGCCACGCCGAGAGCTGTCTCTATGTGTGCTTACGGTTCCCTCCTGACCCTAACCCTCGCTGGTACACTCTCTGCCAAATACCTAATCGAATGAAGAAGAAGAATTCAAGTGGCAAAATTCTGGTCCCAATCCTAATCCCATCCTCTCCCAATTCTCCTCCGCAATTGCATTCGTCGAATCATCTTGTCGCCGTTGGTTCGAATATCTACAAAATTGGAGGGGATGTGCCCTCCTCTTCAAGAGTCTCTGTCTTGGATTGTAAGTCTCACACATGGAACCAGGCTCCAAGCATGCGGGTTGACCGGAGCTCCTCTTCCTCCTCTGTAAGTCTACTTGACGGGAAGATATACGTAGCAGGAGGTTGTGAAGATGGCAATTCTGTGAACTGGGTTGAAGCGTTTGATCCAAAGACTCACACTTGGAGCTCTGTGACTAGCCCTAGCGCGGCGATACGCAATGGAAGTGTAGCTGAACACAGAAGCTTGGGACTTGGTGGAAAATTCCACATCTTTGGTGATGTCTCTAATGAGTCTGGGGTGGTTTACAATCCCAAGGAAGGTAGATGGAACCCGGTACCATTATTTATTAATATGGCTAGTGAACTGTGGTACCATAGTTGTTGTGTGATAGACAACATCTTGTTCTATTGGTTTCACGAACTCTTCCAGTGGTATGACTATAAGGTACATTTATGGAAGCAAGTGAACGGTCTTGAAGTTTTGCCTGAAATGTTAGGAAAGGGATTGAAAACTTTTAGAACTTTGTTTGAGTTCTTCAACCCTGAGCGTTGGCATTGTAAAATTGTTGATTATGGTGGAAAGATGGTGGTTTTGTGGGATGAGGAGTGTGATGGCTATCAAGAAAATAGGATTTGGTGTGCGGAGATTGAGCTTGAAAGACGCGATGGAGATGAGATTTGGGGCAAAGTTGTGTGGTTTGATGTTGTTCTTACAGTCCCCAAATCATGTCACTTCTTGAATGGGAATGCTCTTTCTGCTACTGTTTGATGCTGCTTGGAACAGTTAATGCAGGCTTATATCGTCTAGTTTTTCAATATGTTCAGGGTTTCTTTTTGGTGTTTATTTCTCATTAGTAATAGTAAGTGACTGATAGTTTCATGTTTTTAGCGGATACAGTTGCCATTGTTTCACTTCTAAAATACTATTGAGTCTGTTAAAACGATAAGCTCTGTGATCTCCGACGCAATCCTTGATGCTTGCCTTTAACAAGACTTAGAGAGCAAATATTCTTGTGAGACTTGCACCAAGAACAATATGGTCATGGTTTCCGGAGAAACCACCACAAAAGCCAAAGTAGACTACGAGAAGATCGTATGTGAGACTTGCCGTGGTATTGAATTCACCTCTGACGATGTTGATGGCCTTGATACTGATCTCTGTAAAGTCCTCGTTAACATTGATGCAATGGGGTCATGACATAGCTCAAGGTGTTCATGGTCATCTTACGAAGAAACCTGAAGATATTGTTGCTGGAGATCAAGGTCATATGTTTGGTTACTCCTCTTAGCCATGTTTTAGGTACTAAGCTGGGTGCTAAACTCACTAAAGCTGGCAAGAACGTGACTTGTCCTTGGTTGAGACCTGTCCTGATGGTAATTAAGACTCAAGTGACTATTGAGTACGTCAATGTAAAAGGAGCTATGGTTCTGATCCGTGTACAACTGTTCTCATCTCAACACAACATGATCAGACTGTGACTAATGAAGTTTAGTGAGCTAGGTGCAGTGCCGGCCCTGTTATATATGAGGCCGAATACAAAACAAAAAATTTTTTTGATGAAATTTGTAGACAAATTTAAAAATGAGACCAAATCATAAATTTTCAGAAAAAAATGGCCTGTTTTTACAATATCAAATAGATAAATTTAAAATTTGAGACTAAATCTTAAAATTTTGGAAAAATAAGACCTATTTTTGCAATAAAAATTTATTTTTGCGGCCTAATTTTAGTACTAAAAATCTTTAAAAATTTGGAGGCCCAATACATTTGTATCTTGGGTATTGATGGCGGGCCGGGCCTGGTTAGGTGAAGCAATTGTTTTTTTTTTTTTTTTTTGGTATACTTTTCGATTTGTTATAGTTTCAATTTGTTTAGGTTGAAGATATGTGATTTCACTTATGGTGTAATTCGTCTGATTTCAGTGAAGTCTTAGATTAGCGTTTTTGTGAAGATTTGGCATGGTTTTTTATTCAATTATCTTGAAGATTTGTAAGTTGGCTTATTCCAATTTGGAGAGTATATCTTATAGGTTTGATTTGATTTGGTTGAGGATTTAACTTATTTGACATTCAAGTTTTAGATTAGCGTTTTTGTGAAGATTTGGCATGGTTTTTTGTTCGATTATTTTGAAGATTTGTAAGTTGGCTTATTCCAATTTGGAGAGTATATCTCATAGGTTTGATTCGATTTGGTTGAGGATTTAACTTATTTGACATTCAAGTTTTAGATTAGCGGTGTTGTAAAGATTTTGCATGGTTTTTTGTTCGATTATTTTGAAGATTTGTAAGTTGGCTTTATTCTAATTTGGACGGTATATTCTATGAGTTTGATTCGATTTGGTTAAGGATTTGGCTTATTTGACATTCAAGTCTTAGATTAGCGTTTTTGTGAGGATTTGGCGTGGTTTTTTTATTAGATTATCTTGGAGATTTGTAAGTTGGCTTATTCTAATTCGGACTGGGTTTTAATTCGATTTGGTTGATGATTTGGCTTATTTGACATTCATGTCTTAGATTAGCATTTTTGTGCAGATTTGGCGTGGTTAATTATTCGATTAACTTGAAGATTTGTAAGTTGGCTTATTCTAATTCGGAGAGTATATTCCATGGGTTTGATTCAATTTGGTTGACGATTTGGCTTCTTGACATTCAAGTCTTAGATTGGCGTTTTTGTTAAGATTTGGCGTAGTTTTTATTCGATTATCTTGAAGAGTCGTAAGTTGGCTTATTCCAATTATGATTGTATATTCCATGGGTTTGATTTAATATGCTTGAGGATTTGGCTTATATGACATTCAAGTCTTAGACTAGCGTTTGTGTGAAGATTTGGCGATTTTTTATTCGACTATCTTGAAGATTTGTAAGGTGCTTGTTCCAATTCAAACAGCATCTTCCACGGGTTTGATTCAATATGGTTTAGGATTTAGCTTATTTGACATTCAAGTCTTAGATTAACGTTTTTATGAAGATTTGGCGTTGTATTTTATTCGATTATCATGAAAATTTATAAGTTGGCATATTATAATTCGGATTGTATATTCCGTGGATTTGATTCGATTAGGCTTTAGTAAAACTTATGTATTTGTTTTTTGTAAATCACCTCATCCAAAATTAAGAACAAAAGAATCTGGAGAAATAAAATTAGGAGAATCTGTCCCCTTACTAATTAAACAATTTTTAAATACATGGTTTTTGATGAATTTATATTTACCTTTTGGATTTTAACTTGGTTAATTTGTACACTCTCTTGAATGTTTGGTTGGTGTTTTCTTATGAATGTAACTAAGTTGTGGTGTTTACAAGCAGAAGCATTTTTAGCTTTCGATTTATAATCTATATATACATTTTTGGATGACTTTTAGCAAATAAATCCTGGAGTTGGAATGTATTTACGGATGAATGCCATTGGCATTAATTATTTAAATTTGAAAAATATTAATTAAAGATATTACCAACACGATTTCGAGAATCATAAATTCATATCTTCCTTAATTTTCTGAGTCATTAATGTGATAATCTTTAGGAAATATTTCTCTCTAAAAAAAAATCCACATTAATGAAGGCATTAAAATCGACACTAACAATTAAATTATTTAGATATTCAATTATTTTAAGATTCTTATATCTTATTTGATATTTTTTTTTAATATCTCATTCTTTAATTACTGCGTTTAGAATTTATTGGTTGTTACCTATTTTTTGGTGAAATTTATTGGTTGTTACTTAATAAGTAATTATGGTGCGTTTATTTTAGTTAATATCTAATTTAAAGGATTTGTTTTCTTTTATTATTAATAAACGAATAACATGTATAGAAATAAAAGATTTTTCTTGCGACTCCATAATAAAAATATTAAACTCTTATTTTCTACATTTCTTACACATAATATCCTCTTATTCAATAACAAAAAATATATATTGCATATTTTTAAAAATATTTATAATATTTAAATTATATAAAAAGTTTGTAATATTAATATTATTTCAACTCTATACAAATTTAATATATATGTATATATATCTTATGGGAACCATTTAAAAGAAATTTTTAAATTGACTTGAATTATATAGCTTTTAAATAAAAGTATTATTAAAAAGAAAAATAACTAAATGATGTTTAGTTTCACGGGACGGGTAATATGATGGGACGGGTAATATGATGGGACGGGTTTGGGTTGATATTTATAAAAGATAGTATACCACGGGTGAAATCCTAAAATTAACAATCAAAATAATCTATCAAACAAATTACATTTTGATTTTTTTAAGAAAATATAGCCCCGCGGTGTACCGCGGGTTAAAATCTAGTGCATTTACAATCTATTTCTATATAGAGATTCTCAAACTCTCTAAGCATAATACGAATTGTATAGAACACACTATATAAGTTGAAATTTCTGAATTACGAGGAAATAAGCCTAAGGAAATTTCGTAATTGCATATATTGTGATCTTCACTAGCCTTTTCATCCTCTTTGATCACTAAAACTAAATTTGAAAAACAAGACAAACAAACAAACAATGAATAACTTTTTTTTTTCCTTCCCAAAAAAAATGAGTAACTTTTTTTCTTCTGAATTTAAGTTCTTCTTTTATCTTGGGCCACGTAAAGATGAAGCCCAATACCAAAGCGACGTCGTGTGAGGCACAACGGTCACCTTCAAAAAAGTTGGAGGAAAACGACGAAACAAAAACAGAGCAGAGAGGTGATGAAAGTTGCTTGTACGGAGAAAGTTACGATTCTCGCAGCCCTTGATACGTTTGACAACACAGGATGATGACATCTGTCCTCTCTCTCTAGGGTTTTCGAGTAACCCATTCTCTTGTCTATAAATACTAAATGTTCTACCGATTCCTTTTAGCTTCCTTCGGTTTATTACTCTGCTTCCTCTGCTTGTGAGTTTCCCTTTGTAAGTGCGATTAGTGTTACTTTTTAGGGTTTTCTTTTCCTCTCTAATTTTGGATTTTGTTACAGTTTCTGCCTTATTCAGTGTGATTAGTGAACAAATGAGGAGCTTTTAGGTTACGTATCTTTAGGGTTTGTTAAGGATTTTTGCTTGTGCATTTTGCCTTTTCCAGTGAACAATGAGGAGCTTTTAGTTAAAGTTTTAGCGTTTAATATATCCTCCTTTAGTTTTTTCATTCTTTGGTAAAGAAGCTATCACATTGGTTCGATCTAGCCACAAACTCATCCATTTGTTTTTTTTTTTTTGTCATTGATAAAAATGTCTTCTTTTTTTGCTGCTTCTTTGATAAAAATGTCTTCTTTGTTTGTTGTTTCTTTGTTAAAAATGTCTTCTTTTTCAGGCTGATCAGTGTTACCTTTTAGGATTTGTTTAGCTCTTGCTTTGGTATGTTACGTTTTTTGCTTGTGCATTAGTTTTTAGTGTGATTAGTGAACAATGAGGAGCTTTTTAGTAAGGTTTTAGCATTTAATCCTCCTTTACTGTAGTTTGATCCTTCTTTGGTAAATAAGCTATCACATTGGTTCTTGATTTAGCCACAACCGTCTCATCAATCTGTTTTTCTGAAAAAAATGTCTTCTTTTGCTATTTCTTTGATCTAATTTTGGAAGCAAAACTCTTCCTTTCTTTCGTTAATGCCTCTGAACAATGAACTCGTTGTGAAAATCGCTTCACTTTTATTTCCTTCTTAGTTAATGTTCTTTCCATTTTCTCTCTTCACATTCATTAATGTATTTTATTGAACCTTGCAAATTTTCAGGGTAAAGTAATTGCAGATGGCACTCCCCCCACCCTATGATCCCAATTTCAAATTGGCATTCTCTCTCGGCAGTATCGCAGAGATTGAGAATCACCAAGATCACGGTAAGTAAAATTGCCACTCTAGAATATACTCATAAAAGTAAATAGCTACTCTGGTTTGTAAGATGGGAATGGTGACTTGTGGCTGTAGAATTATGATGTTGTGTTGAATCATTGCTTTGCCTCATTGCTTTAGTTTTAGCCTGGTTTAGTGAAAGGCAAAGTTTACTCATTATGTTGATTTATCAGAGTTGATTCTGCTCATATTCTTACACCAGTGTCTTAAGTTTTTGTTCTTTTTGGCTCTGATAACTTGTTTGCTACGGTAGGTTTTAGATTCTCTCAGATACTGATATCATGTGTCTTAGACCCTTAACGTGTGTCGTCTTTGTAAGTTTTATCATGATTTCAAATCTTCTCTTTTATGTTAACACTGAGATATGAGTCATTTGACTAATCTATCAGCCAAATTTTGTGGCTTTATAATTAGGATGTTGTGCTGAATCAATGCTTTGCCACATTGCTTTAGTTTTAGCCTGGATTAGTGCAAGCCAAAATTTACCCATTAGTTGATTCTGATCATGTTCTTATCTTGTAAGATGGGAATCCATTCAGATTTTTATTCATTTTTCCATTTTGTGTTTTTGTCTTTGCAGATGAATCTGCTTCTGCTGCTGTCGTAGCGGTTGATCTGATAAGCTCTGCACGGTTTGCACTTAAGCTGGATAGTGTCTATACTGAGTACTCGGCTAAGTATTTGGTGGACAATGCTGGTGGCTCACACAGGGGGCGCAAGCTCACTGTCAAAGACTGTCTTGAGTTTGCGATAAACAAAGGCGGCATACCGAAAGCAGAAGATTGGCCACGCTTGGGATCTGTGATAAAGCCTCCATCATCGTATAAACCTGACCTCGTTTCGATGAAAGGACAAGTGATTGAGCCTAAGACTATGGAGGAAGCATGTGACTTGTTGGTGCATCAACCAGTAGGAGCAAAACTGCATGTGTTCATGCCACACATTGAACTTCAACAAGACGTAAGTGCTATAGCTGTTAGATAAGATTCAATATAAAATGAGAGAGAGACATTTGATCTATAATATTTGTTCATTTGTTTTGTGTGGTAGGGAATTTACTGTGGCACGTCAGGTGAGCCAGCTAGCTATGTCGGACTTAGAGATGCGATCATAATTGGAGCCGAGAATATCCAAGGGAAGTCCATTGCAACAGTGAAGGTATGGTACAAGAAGAAGTTCATATTTCTCAAAGTGGCTATGAGCAGGTGGTTTCAGTTATACTCTCCGGATGACACACAGAAGGGCATAGAGCCAACACATTATCTTGTTGACTTTTGTGTCCCACGCCTATCCATCAATTAAGCAAGAAGATGTTTTTATCTTCTTAATAAGTATATGCTACTAGTGGAAGACTTTATTTAAGAATAATGTTTCAGGAGACTTTTTAAGATATGTAATAAGTTAAGAAGTTGAGATTTCTACTTTCTAAAGACAAAAATTTGGGATGATCGATTTCTTATATGTTTCAACAATTTGGCATTTCAGCTCCTAATCTTAGACACCTTGAATTGTTTATGTTTTAGTTTTGTTTAAGGCAGTCCTCATATGCAGGAAGTAGCCATGATTTGGCAAATCAGATATATAGATAATAGAACTTGCTATTTTGATTGTAATAGTTTATCAGTATCTGAATAAAATCCAAAACTATTAAATCAGCTTTTGGAATCCCAAATTATGGCTTCTGCTCTCGATTGATGGCTTCATTCTTTGATCATCCCAAAACGACGGCGTAATGAACTGGACTGTAAGCGTAATCTTCAGGTCTGATTGCCGTAGTTGCAGACGCCGAAGAACTTCAGTTTTAACAATATGTTCACCTCAAGTCCTCTCTCGTTGAACTACAGGGCGGTGTGGCTTTGGGGCTAAAACCCAAAAAACAAAAACTTTTGAGATGTTTCATCAGGGAACAAAATTGCAGGTAAAAATGAGAGTGGTTACCGTTGGGATTGCCTTGCTCATAGAAACATTTGAAAAGAGAGACAGCTTCTTCTGCCATTATTCCTCCTCTGCATTTATACCCTTTTCCTCTTTGAGATTCCTCACTATCAAACCAGAAATCAATTAACAAGGCATATTTTTAAAAAGATTGTAGTGTGATCGTATAACTTACATGATATCTGACGACTGAGAACTGCCCAAGTGAAGCGACAAAATGGAACCACATCCCCCAAATTTATCATTTGGACATCCATAATACACTTCCTTTATACCTTCAATTATGAGCAAGAGCTTATCATTTATCAACATCAGAAACAAACAAAAAAAATAAATGAAATGTCTAATTCAGCTTAAGGATTAATACCGAGAAACGATAATGCCGATGCACACATTATGCAAGGTTCACATGTTACGTAAAGAATGCATTTCGAGAATTTCTCAGCGACTTGTGAAGGTGAGAGTCCATCTTCCTGCCACTGTCCGACAAGTTGATCAATTGCTTCCATCTCAGCATGTCTTGTGGCCTGTGGCAAACAAATGCCTCAATATATATGAATAAACCGAAGTAACAATCATACGTTTATGTATTACTCAATAAAACAAGATTGAGAGAAATAGTGAATCCAATAGTAACTGAAGAAACTAGCTTATTACTAGAACATATATAACAAATCAAGCTTAGTTACTTGCAAAAGTTTGAATATTTACATTGCGTGTCTCATTTGTTCGGTTTCGCCCTGAAGCAATGACCTTACCATCCTCAAGAAGAACACATCTGATCCAGACAAACCAGAAAAAAGAATATGAAAAGAAGCATTAGTTCTCTTATATGACATTAATTGATACCCTGGTAACACAAATTGGGATGAAGCAAAGGCAAAAATTAGAGACCCAACAGGAACTTCAAGTGCCTCCAGAGCAAGTTTAGCCTGCAAGCAAAGGGAAATCAACCACTGTAACTCTAAAAAGCAACTAACTTTTACAGTATAATAGAATCAATAATAGTGTTACCTGGTGCAGAGCAAAACCCATATAATTATGAGAATCCTCACAATGGTCCTCTTTTACTGTTGCCATAACTTTATCCTCAGCTTTGCCAGTGAGAGTAAATAACAAAACCTGATGGCCAAGGGGGATTCAAAAAGCCTTATAATTACTACTGCTAAACAGAAGATGGTCTCTTTGGCATATTTATTATACAGAGAATTTCTCACATCAAACTCAATTTGTTACTCCTCAAACGTTTTTAATTTATTATATCTGTGTACCAAAATTGAAACTAAACAGTAAAACTAAACATGTAACAGAGGACTGTTAGGACTAAAACTAATCACATTATGCCACTCTCAGGGATTAATCGGATCGAAGAGAAAACAATGTTTGTGAATTCAACAGAAGAAAGCCTATGAGCTATGAACAATGAGCATAAGAGTTTTAAAAAAAATGAGCATAAGAGTCACAGTGACTAAAAAAGAAAGGTAATTGAATTGGAACTGTGATTAATCTGGATGAAGCAAAGGATCGAAAGATAAAAGAGACCAACCAATGATCTTACTCAGACCGCAACGATCAACAAGCTTCCTCACAATCGTCTCTGAGAAAGAGAAAAATCAATCCTAAAATGACGTCGTTTCGTGAAAATAAACCCATACGGCCATACCATATACCAAAACGACGTCGTTCGGGTAGGAGTCTCGGAATCAATAAAACATAATTTAGGGTTTTGTTTGATTTCGGTTTATTTGGGTCCCCATTAGTTAAACCAAAGAACCAAACCCAAATACATCAATTTTTTTTTTGGGACTTTGGTCAGAGAGTTTACAAATTTAAGGTTAGATGCCAAAACAACTTCTCAAGGGATGAATAAGTGGTTTTTATCTAGACTTCAATATACTCACACATCTGTATATAGATGTAAAGGAGAATGGTTTCATTTCATCATAGTTTCACACTTTGGTATGTCCTAAGGATATGCCTTTTTACCGAACAAAAGATCAACCATTCAAACAATGTACCACCACATGGTCCACATCTATTGAGCTTCCAAATTGGGTGAAGAAATCACGCGATATTGACAAGGAGAGGAAGAAAACAAGCACATTTTGGAACTCATGAAAAAAGGAACAAACTCTTTAAACATTCACATCGACCATTGCAGGTGAATGGAACTACTAAATGGGGAGACGATACAATGCTAAGAAAACTTATCGGAAACCAAAAAAGGTGATCATTCATGCCACTTGATCAATATACGTTAGAATCATTCACAAATTTCCACATATAAAAATGGTAGGACACAAAGAGGAGAAACAACCTCAAGAAACAGGTAAATTGGTTATGTTGCTCTTACAGGTTTTGACATTGTGTAACCAAGATCAATCAGCTTTCTGATCAACACTTTCTCAGCTTTTGCCTACACAACAACAACACAAACAAGAAAATCAAAATGAGTACAATACCGAAACAAAGCTTGTTACTTTCCCATTTTTATAAGACAAAAGCAAAAGACTAAAGAAAGAACCTCAAGCAATGGATTGTTTTTAGGGATGTTACAAGCCAGGATTATATTGAGACCAGTCTTCAACACTAGAACACACAAACGACCAGAGAATTTATAACTGTATCATCAAAAAAAGAGAAGGATTTGAAATTGCAAGATTGTTATAATCAGATTCTAACCTAATCTACGCGCAATGCCAGATCCAGTGTTATCAGATGTTCCACCAAGTACTGAAGTAACACTCACTGTATTACTCTGCCATAGAAACAAAAATACCAATTTAAAGTTTAAACACAGAAACCCTAAAAATTGCAGCTTTAGAATTTCACTGGAACTCACCGGTCGTGTTGAAGCGGCTGCGTACAAACTCCCAAATTTAGCGGAATTGCAACCGACCCATACGTAAATCTACAGTTCGATTTCAATTTTTAGTTCCGATGACGATCGAAGAAATTGAGAATTAGGTTAAAAGGATCAAGCTAAGTTTATTGGCGGGAACCTGTTTCGCGAGACGGATGATCTGGAACTGGATAGTGACATCATCGAAAACTTCAGTGAAGCACAAGACTTTTACACCGTCTCCGTCTACTTCGCCGGAATCTCCGATTTGGTCGGCGATGTTCACCTGAGCAACGGATCGAAGAACTTGGTCGTATTCAGTCTCCATTGTCTCTGAAGTCCGAGAAAAGTCAGGTCCTCCTCCTTTGGCTCTCCTTCTTATGAGAGAACAAACGAATCAAAAATCAATTTCAGTTTTTCATATCCGGTTTAATCTGGTTAGTTACGGTTTACTCCGGGTTAATCCGGTTCAAGTTTTTAGATGACGGTATAAAGCAAGTCAAGTAAAAATCTCAATTGCGAAATTCCTCTTTGTCCGTCGTTCGTTGCTCTATTCCGGCGATACGTGTGTCTCTGATCCGAGCAATCTCACTCCAATAGCTTGATTTTCTGAATTTTCCGAATCTGATCTCTGGTTCGGTTCTCTTCTCTCTGTGTTATCTTCCTTCTTGCGCATGTATACGATTTGGGGTCTCTCCGTCTCTATGCTTGAGAATTCCCTGCAAATCGAAACAGATCTGTGTAATTTTATGAGTTTAATCGCGTATTAGTTCGTTGGGCTCAGATTTTTTTGTTGTTTTTATCCAATTGTTACGTTTTCTGTTGTGATTTCATTAAGAGTTGCATTAATCTGTTTGGTTCTTGATCTGTAGATGGATAGTGGAACCGTCAACATCAAGAAATGGGTAGTGATATATCCAGTTTATATTAACTCAAAGAAAACTGTAGCTGAGGGAAGAAGAATCAGTGTGAGTAAATCATGTGAGAACCCGAATTGCATTGAGATTAGTGATTGTTGCAAGCATTTGAAACTCCCTAGTGCCGTCGAGGTAATCCTTCTTCATCTAATTGGGTTTACTTACGGGAGTATGTGATTTCTTTAAACACAGTCTTTGATTTGAGTTTTTTTTTTTAGATTGACAAAGCATACCCGCGCGATTTCATGCAAGTAGGGAGAGTGAGGGTGCAATTGAAAAGGGAAGATGGGACTTTACTCAATCCATCCATTACTTCAAGTAAGACCTCGCTTCTGTAATCGTGATTCTATATCCGCTCGCTGTTAAACATTTTTGTCTTTTGTCTTTTCTTATAGTGTTATCCTAGTGTGATCACTTAGATTGAGCTAGAAAATGGAATCTGCTTTATTTACTTTACTTACTCTTGTTGTGTTGTTAAGATCTCTCCTTGTTACCCATGTGTGGATGTGTTCAACCTTGCTACGAATTGTTGCCTGATACAAACCTGCTTGTTATCAAAACCCTGGTCTCTGATGTTAACGTTCTGCTTTGTTTTATCCCATATCAACCTGATCCAAACTTTTTTCATAGATAATTTGTCATTTATATCATCACCAATTTCAAACTTTGATCTGGAGGTTTTAAGAGTGGTTCCAGGGATCCCTACATTTTTCATTTATGGTCAGCATTAGGTCGATCTTATGGATATGGAACTTACTGCAGCAATTATCTGAGTCTTTAGATGTTTATGTTTGTTATGATAGTGTTACCGGAATTTCACCTTATGTTTCTGATTTTTTTCTTCGCAAATTCTTTATCAATTCATGTTGCTATTTCTTGAATTTCTTTTGTTTTTTGTTGCATATGATTACATCAGGCTCAGATGGAGAAATAACTTATATAGAACTTGTTTGTTTCAAGCACTTTTTGGCCAATTGCAAGACTTCAGATGTGTTTGTATTTGCATATGCGTATGCATTGATACTGTTGCATGTAAATAGCTAGACCTTAACACACAGAAATATATGAATATACATTTGGCTTGCTGCTTTACATGATTTGCACGAAAAGACTCCACCTGTGAGAACACTGCAAGTTGTTTGCTACAGACATATGATGTGCTCCTTGTGTTGATGTATATTTGCAGGGAAGCATCTGCTGCAGAAAATTGCAGAGTTGGTACCAAGACATCCAGAGAGAGTGAAGAAGCAGGAAGCTCAGAAAGCGAAGAAGCAGGAACCTCAGGCCACAACTTCAACCTCTGGAACTTCTTCAAAGTCAGGCAAAGGTGGCAAGAAGAAGAGATAAACTAGCCCTCTCTGTCTCACATTTATTTTTCTCCTCGCATCAGATTTTTTGGCTTTTAATCTCTTTAACTTACTGAGAAGAACACAAAGGTGTTTGCTGCTTAGTCTCTTTCACTCGTAAGCTATTTTATTTTCATCATTCTGCTTGCTTTTTTTGGCATCATCCATTGACATTAGGCAAAAAAGAATGACTAAAAAAATAAAAAAAGTTTTACTTCAGAAACACTGTTTAATATAAAACATCCAAACAGTACATTTAAGGTTTGTCAAAAACAAAAACTATTTCTGATTGTTGGTCATTAAAAGCATTTGTGTCAATTCGATCCAACATCTACCCCTTTGTGCTTGAAGAAGTCCTTGGCCTCTGCAATATCCTGCAACCAAAGAAAAATAGACAAAAGACACTAAATTAGCAAAAGATTAAAGGAAGTCAACAATAAATAACACTGGACTCTAAGAACAAGACCAAATATGGCAAACAATGAGTTTGTCTCAAAAGTACCTTTTGCAACAGAACTGCTTCTTGGGGACAGGTAGGAAATTGCATTAGTCCGATTCCAACCATTAATAGACCATAGCATCCAAGGGATACTACAAAGTAGATCGGTAGCTGTAAGACAGACCAACAACATTAACAAATCAGAACACAATCCCAATTTCAAAATAGCAAGAAACCAAAAAAAGAGGACAAAACTGTTTGTTACTCACCAACCATGTATGGCTTCGAGGAATAATTGCAGCCTGCAAAAGACCAATCCAGAAGGCAGAGATTGCCACCAGCAGGCTCAAGATCTTTACTATATGCTTCATTTGTCCTTCAAATTAAAAAATTATGTAAAATAGTTTTTAAGTATAGCAGCGAAAAGAAATGCAGAATCCTCCTAGAAGTCGTAGAGCATGTAAAACAAAATCACTCAGCGAGCCTACTAAAAAGAAGTAAGCAGTAATACAATGAACTATTCACAATTTCGTAGTTATCATGATCAAACACATAATCCTCAAGAGCAGAATATTAGATCACAAAAATTGATCACAAACTCAGACCATATAAAAGATGTCAATAATAGCAATCAGTTGTTACTAGATGGTGAATGACTTTATGGTTCCTTAGTGTGTAATGTTCACTAACACATAGACATCCGCATAATTTCCAAACATCACAGGAAAACAAATTGGCAAACTAGAGTTAGCACAGTCTGAACAGCTCAGGAACCCAGTTTATACAACTCAAACCATCATACTATATCCAGCGATCAATTTGTACTTCTACGACACTGACCACTGACTGGGATAAACAAAATAAGACTTCCCCGGTTTAAGGAACATCACACACAAAATGATTAGAGAAATCTGAATCCTAAGAAATATGACTAAGAAATTGAAAATCATCCGACTCAGAAATATTGTAACATCATAAACACAACTTCCAATTTCTGAGATGATAAGCTCCTATCAGAACCGATACAAAATTAATGACTTCCCAAAGTTCGTAAGACTCAAACTTCAAGAACTCAAAGTCTCAAACCAAAGTAACCTTAATCCTAAGAACTGTGTTAGCTTCCAGGAATTCAAATTCCCTAATGCTGATCATGTAACAATTACAGGAACCAAAGCAATTGCACAAAATTTCCCTTACATTCAGACAAAGAAGCATTTAGAAAACCAGAATTCTAAAGAACCTAGGCTGCTTAAAACCGAAAGCATCTAAATCGAACCATGTAACAAAAGAACAGGATTCCAATTTCATATTGCTAGAAACGTATCTCTATGAATTTTTCATGTGGTTCCTTGAAACTACATTGTTCCATCTCCGAAAACCAATATCATGATTCATGCACTAGCACAAGATTTTCCAAGAATCATCTGGAAGCCTAGTACTAAATTAGCTACAAGCTACATCAATAGAAATTCCCAACAAACCGATCCGAGAGGAGATGTTGCTCTGAAGTGAAACCAGATTTAGCGTAAATCGATCCAACAAACACAAAATAACGAGGAGGAATCGAAAATACTCACTATTTGATCGACGAGATCGCAATTGGTTGATCGATAGAATCAATTATAGAAGATCGATCGGGGCGTGGAGGACGCAAGGTCGCAAGTACTCGCCGTCGACGACGATGAATCGACGATTTTAACACCGGCGAATATTGGAAACTCGTGAATATACGAATATAATTTAATACACTTAAACGATGTCGTATAATCCCCACTTCTATTCTTCCGGTCTAAATATGGTTCCGATTGGTAACAACCGGTATAGCGGCGGAATTGCGTTTTCGAATGCAATTATGCAAAACACTAGATTTTACCCCGCGGATCGATTTTTTAACTAAAAAATTAAATTTTAAATTGTATTTTTAATATTATTTATTTTGTTAAGTGTTTGAAATTGTATAATTGTATTTTAAATGTTAATTTTAAGATTTTATCCGTGATATTAATACTGTCCCGTATTAATATCGATCCAAACTCGTCCCACTATATAACTCTGTTCCGTGAAATTAAACATCATTTTGTTATTTTTAATAATATTTTATTACCGCGGATCGATTTTTTAACTAAAAAAATTAAATTTTAAATTGTATTTTTTAATATTATTTATTTTGTTGAGTGTTTAAGATTGTATAATTGTATTTTTATTGTTAATTTTAAGATTTCATCTGTGATATTAATACCGCCCCGTATTAATATCGATCCAAATCCGTCCCACTATATAACTCCGTCCCGTGAAATTAAACATCATTTTGTTATTTTTAATAATATTTTATTTAATAGACATATAATTCGAGTCAATTTAAAAGTTTGATTTTATATATATTTTTAAAAATTTTAGATAATAATAATTAATTCTATATAATAATTTCTAAATTAATTGCGTATGACTGACGGTTAAGATTCAAGATTAAAAACCGGATTAAGATTTGAATGGCCACGATTAAATGTAGGGATTGTTGAGATCTTTTAAGGAAATCGAATTGAATATGGATGTAATTGTGGTAAGGATTAGTTATGCTTAATATATTAGGTTAAGATTTTTGGAAACGATTTTTTATGTTAATATCTTTGATTTAATTTTGAAAATCTAAATAATAATGTCAATGGCATTTGATCGTAAATAAGTTGGAACTCCAGGATTTATTTTATAAATGACTCTAAAATGTATATATAGATTTGCCAATAAAAAAAAACTGTATAATCACATTAGAAAACGCAAAAGTAAAAATTTATTATGCTAATAAGTATATTTTTTATTTGCATAATAAATATTTTTTATTTTATTTATATATAATTAGTAAATTAAAAAGTAAAAAAAATTTACTATAAAACTTATACCATTTTTGAATAATATTTAAAAATTTCACAACTTTTTAATAATTTTAAATATTTACTAGGGGAGGTCCCCGCGCCCAGCGCGGGGTTGTATGTTGATTAAGACCAGAATTAATAATTAATATTTAGGGTTATCAAGTTAGGGATATTTATTGAATTAATTTTGTCAAGAGTCTAATTTTTATAACGACATTAATATAGAATTATGGTAAAACGCTATAACTTTTGATATATATTATTAGTAATCAACAATTAATAGTGTTTTTGAATCACAAACAATTATTAGTGTTTATATCTTGATATATATAATAGAATTAAATATAAAAAATCTATATATTTAAACCAACAATATATTAGCAACGCCCCGACCGCCACTGTCCATGGGTTCCCACGTCCAGTCTCGGTCTTTAGGCTCATCTTCTTTGTTTTGTCGTACTCTTGATTTTATGACATATTCATGCTTACTCGTTTCTTTCATATTAGCAACGCACCGACCGCCACTGTCCGTGGGCTCCCCACGTCCAGTTTCGGTCTTTAGGCCCATCTTCTTTGTTTTGTCGTACTCTTGATTTTATGACATATTCATGCTTACTCGTTTCTTTCATATTTGTAATGCCACGACCGCCACTGTCTGTGGGTTCCCACGTCCAGTTTCGTTCTTTGAGCACATCTTCTTGGTTTTGTAGTATTCTTGGTTTTATGACATATTCACGCTTCCCCGTTTCTTTCATATTTGTAACGCTCCGACCGCCACTGTCCGTGGGTTCCCCACGTCCAGTTTCGGACTTTAATTTGGGCCCATCTTCCTGGTTTTTGTTGTATTCTTGATTTTATGACATATTCATGCTTTTAGATTGTATGTCACTGGAGTTTTTCGTAGTTGGAAACAAATAATTGAAAAATATAATCTCTTACCATATCTCTTACCTATCAAGTAAGTCATCTTGCTCTTTGAAGTAGTTATGTACGTAAAATTTCAATGGTATAGAAACAGGCATCTCCTTTGTATATATCGTGTCATATTTATCGTCCCTATTGTAATATCTTTGTCTCTACCTTCGCCATTGGTCGCTGCGTAACCCTTCAGTTGATCTCTTGTTTATAAAACCCATATAAAAAGTTGTAAGAGAAATATCATTTTCTTAACTGTATCGTATATGTATTTGTAGTATATTGATCTGAGATTGCAAAGATGTATGCCTATCAAGAAGCTCTTAGCAAAGTAAACACTGAAGATAGGTACTAAAAATGAGAGGGTTACAGAGAGCAAGTATCTATCCCTTAGAAACCACTATGTGCAACTGAGAATAATTCATATATGTACATACATACACATGTATACAACGTATTGAAGCTTTTAAATTTAAATATCGAATGCTACAAAACTGGAAAATTGCTTGTGGAGAAAGCAATATGAACATGGCCACATATATAACAAATAACCGATTATGCTTGTTGTAGATCATTCTCTTTCAAACCAAAAGTTTTACCTAAACAACATATCAAGTGACTCACAAGAGATACATAAGAGCCATATCCTAAAAATATCCGGCAAAGCAAAAACGCTCCAGGTTCGAGAAGGAAGTCATTGGAAAATTTGAGTATATACCAAACTGGAGAGTAATTCGGCTACAAAGAGAGATGTGTTGGCTTTGAAGAAAAAGCTATGTGATGCTCTACCTTTTATTTATGAATTTTATGCTATGAATATATGTTTTTGTTAGGGTTCAACTTCAGTCTCCGGATTAGAGACTTATATTCATCCGACAAACAATTCGATGTCACAATTAACGCTACAAAATTGGTGGGTTCTCTCTATTAACAAACAAAAAAAAATTATGGGGTATATATATTTTTTTTGTTTTGTTAGATCCATACGACGAAGAACATGACGAAGAACACCAAAAATTCTCATCAATCCGGTACGTTTGATCTTATTTTTATTAGTTTAACAATTACGGTTATGTCCGAATCTGAAATAACCATGGCTCCAGACTCCTTCACACCATGGCCACATATCACCGGAGTGGAGACGATTTCAAATTCGGAGCTTCTCTTCGCATATAAAATCATACATATGGTCTCTTTGTTTCGGGTTCCCTCTACAATAATTAGTACATATTTCAAAACTGAGCTACAAAAGAGCACATTGGATTTTGGTAAACATCAAGATTGCTTCCTACCTTCCAAGAAACATGATAGACTAATTCACATCCAAGACCAAACATTAGCCACATAAAGCCTGAATCAAATTAAACGATCTTAGGATGCTCTTCATAATCCGTAAGTTAAAGAGACTTGCATTAATATTGCAAATTAGACTCTAGAGGTCCACAATGGTTAATCAGAGTGTATCAAAGACGACGAACAAAGCATGAATTAGAATAGCAGCAGAGGAAGCACACAAATATTCAATAAACGTAATCAATCACTGAGAATAGCATGGACCCAACTTTTGAAAGATTCATAAAAAAGGAAGATTTTTCCTATGCAACAATATTCAAACAATGAGAAGATCAATGATTGATGACTAACCATACAACCGAAGCAAAGCCATAAACAGAAACGAAAGTACTAAAGCGCCACAACAGCAGTGATACGACATTTGTTTCCTCGCACTGGAAACAATGACGTGCTTCCATAAATCCAATCTAGTTTTTATGGAAAACAAACCTGCATTCATAATAAACACTACTATTAATTATTATTTTTTATGCAAGAATTAAATGGCAGTATAAAAAATTCAATGGTTAGTACCGAAAAAAAAAGCAAGGATTAGTTATGATATCAAATCAAAATTAAATATCAAGCAAGGTATTTACATAAAATTAAGGCAGTGGAGGATCTAAGAATTTTTTTTTTGACAATATCTACAACTAAACAAAGAAAATTTATATATTTTTAAAACAGAATCATTATTTGTTTTTTGGTAAGATTAAAACCGAATCATTATCATATTAGTAAAATTATCATTTATTTATTATTATCCACGTTAATTTAAAAGTTTAAGAGAATATCTGCTTTTTTCTCATAAAAGGATGGAATAATAACATAACTCTTTTAGATTTATAACTATATTTGACATTATCATATTAAATCTATTAAGATAAATATATTTCTTTTTGAAAAATATAAATAAAATGATAATATAATTATTATAGATTTACAATTATATTATTATCCATGTCAAAATTTTAAAACATTTTACTTTTTTCTCACATAGGAAGATAGAACAATAACGTAACAGTTTAAGATTTACAACATAAAAATAATATCAGAATTGGAACGCCAAATCATAATCAACACAATTAACACAACTCTAATGGGAAATTAGAGTTATCTTGTGATTAAAATACTAAACAAACAAAACTAACCGAAACAAAACAAAAGTCTTCCTTTCAAAATCATTAACGTGACGGATTGCTGACTGATTAAGTTGAAGTTTTAGGCATTTAAAGATCTAGAAAGATGATTACGGTTAAACATTTTTATTTATTTTAAACAACGTTTGAATGTTGACAAAAAAAGAAGAAGAGAGTGTTGGGACCATCGGGAGAGACAACGTTGAGCAGCTGCGAAAGAAGCCAACGTTGTCTATTATGTTCCTCACAGTGTTTGATTTGACTTTTGATGACATTACACTCCTGTCCACTTGTTGTCTCGAAAGTTCATGCAATGGAAAATTATTAAACAAAACAATTTACTTTTATGTATAAATCCTAGGGAAGAACCGATCAAGCTAAGATCAATGGTTGTGGTTTTAGTACCGTATACTTCTCAAATATACCCGTTGAATAACGGAAATCCGCAAGACGGGGAGGAGACGAAGTCACCCTAGCTGGCAAAGGAGCTAACCCAGCTCCTTTGGTCTTATTTATGGTCATATGTATTTAGCAAAATATGGTATACAAATCGAACCAATCAACAACAAAACCTGGTTTTAAATTGTTGTATATTTCTCAAAAGTCAAAACCCATAATAACCAATGGAACAGAAGAAGCTAATGCAGAGCATACTTACGCTTGGAGTAAAGAGTGATGCAAGCTTCCATTGGCACACCCGAAAACGCATCAGAGCATGGAAAGAAACCTAAAAACCAATAAATTAAACAATAATTAAATCTTAGTGCATGGAAAACGAATCCTATACATACCAAAGTCCGAATCTCAGTGCCTTAGAATGACCTCGATACCAAAAACTTTAAGTTACTACTTCCATATATGTAATATTTTAGTTTGGGGAGAGAGATTGGCAACGAAGAGTAATTCCTGAATTTAACAGACAAGTTTGTTATCCCTAATCTAAAGAGAGGAATACTTAAATTGTATTAACGACAAAAATTAGCCTCCTCTGAAGATTCATCCCTGAAATAAGTCATCTTTCTGACTTTGTGGCAACTGTGTTATCAAAAGTTGAGTGTTTCTTCTGAAAAAGACATATTTGAAAATAATAAGAACATGTACCTCAACAAAATCGGGAGGTACCTCATCTTTTTACAACAAAAAGAAACATACCAAACCATCGATGATTACCTTCTCAAAAGTTGAAACCAAACTTTTTGATTATAAAAATTGATTAGTGGTGAAAATAGTAAAACCATAAATACAAAAAAAAAAAAAAAATCAAATTTGTACATATAAACTATAAGATCACCTGTTTATTCATTGAATTAGGTCCAAATTTTCCATACACCAGTTCACATCGTCCCCTCCATACATCCACCCTACAATAAAAAGAAAAATTAAAATTAGGTAGAAGCAAAAAAAAGTTTGAAAAAAAAGAACAAAAAAAAACAAGGGTTAGTTATGATCTGAAATTGAATACCATGAGCAAGGTATTTATATTGAATAGGAGGCGGTGCATGATTTAGGGTTTCTAAATTTTTCGACGATAAATACAAAAAAAGAAAAGAAAATTTACATATTTTAATAAGCAAATCACTATCATAATAATAAATATTTGTAAAACTGCCATTTATTCATTGTTATCCATGTTTATTTAAAATAATATTTACTTTTTTCCGTAAAAATATGGAATAATAACAACTATTTTAGATTTACTACTATATCTGATACTATCTTATAAAATATATTAAAATTTAATGGAAAATTCCTTTCTGTTTCAAAAATAAGGCGGAACAATAATATAATTTTTGATTTACAATAGATAGACATGCATGGTATCCATATGCGTCATGTCACGCTGATCCATATTTTTTTCCAAAACTCGATCTAATTGCTATTATGTGCAAAAATCACCGCCGTTCACGTTCATGTTCACGTTAGCACTCCATACCTTAATTCACATGTAAACCTCTCTGCCTATCTCTGACTTCAGCTCTCTCATCTTCGAGTCTCCCCAAGAAAGTTTTGACACCACACCAACATTTCATTCGTCAAAATTAAATCGAGTTTGCACAAGGTTACAACCGATTAATAGGTGGTCTTCTACCTTCTATTTACGATTTTATGCTATGAATATATGTTTTTGTCAAGGTTCAAGTCAATCTCCGGATTAGAGACTTATAATCATCCGACGAACAATACGATGGCGTGATAACCGTTTCTAAATTGGTGGGTTCTCTTTCATTGATCTACATATTATTTTTTTTGTTCGTTTTTTTTTCCAAATATTTAGATTGAAACGACGACGAACACGACGATCATACCAAAAATTTCATCTATTCCGGTACGTTTGATCTTTATTTTAATTAGTTTAACAATTAATAGCCGTTTACGATTAATTTCGGATATCTAAATCTTATTAATTTGAGTAAGGTTAGAATAGTATTCTTTTATGTTTATATTAATGCTCCGATTAATAATTTTCGGATATTTGACATTATCATCTTAAATATATCAATATTATAATAAATATTTTCCTTTTCCGATTTTTTTTTTTTTTGGTATAATTCCTTTTCCGATAAATTATGAAACAGATATGTTTACACAAAAGGTAAAAAAGAAAAAGAAAAAAAAAAAAAAAAAAAAAACCCATCAACCGTCTCCATTCACACGTTTCTTCATTATGATCACGAATTCACGTTCATGGAAGCTTCATCATACATTAACACTTACAAGTTTCTTCGTCGAGTTTTTATCCAAGGTTTCTTCGTCAACTCTGTATCCAAGGTAATAAATATTTGTTCTTTTCATTGGTTAGAATTATAGGGTGCAGGATAGTATTGACGTCTTAAAGACATAACATGGGCAAGATACTATGAGAAGCTTGACTATTCTGCTTCGACAGATCAATATGTGAAATTCTATCATACATTAACACTTACAAGTTTTTTCGTCGAGTTTTTATCCAAGGTTTCTTCGTCAACTCTGTATCCAAGGTAATAAATATTTGTTCTTTTCATTGGTTAGAATTATAGGGTGCAGGATAGTATTAACGTCTTAAAGACATAACATGGGCAAGATACTATGAGAAGCTTGACTATTCTGCTTCGACAGATCAACAGGTGAAATTCTATCACTAAATTATTAGATCTCTGTTATTGCTATGAATATATGCTTTATGTTAGGATTTCAAGTTTTGCCTTCGTTCAGAAGAATTATATTCACACGACGAAGAACACGATGAATTCAATTAAAGCTTCCTAACTGGTACTTCGTTGTTCCCTTTTTTTTTTGGTTAATTATCATATTTATTGTTTCCGAAATTATTTTTTCCTGGTTAATTCCGAAATTCAATTTAATTTTTCCAAAATTAATTAGATTTCATTAAGGATAATTAAGTAATTACGTAAAATCAATGACTCAACAAGAGCCGAGAGTCCGACACGTCAGCAAAAACACTTCTCAAATATTGTTATATATAGATATATTTTCATTATCAAATATTACTTAAAATTTATTAAAAATGTTAAATATAAGTATATATTAATAATATAATATTCTGTCTTTATTATTATGCGATTTTTCATTGCGACTATACAATGTTATCAATCGGAACCCATGTCTTTTAGCCCAGCTTTTAATTCATACTCTATCGGTCTGATGCGATTTCATATCGGTTTGACGCGGTTTTTGTGTCCCTTTTATCTCTTTGAAGTTCACTTTTTGGATATTAGCATTTTCATAAGCTCAATTCGGTTTTCAAAAATATTGTCATTTACATTCGATTCGGTTTCAATTCTTGATCAAAATTGAAGATTGGAACATTCGCTTCGATTCCAATCCACCACTAAAACGTATTGCTAAACCATTTTATATAAAACAAACTACTTCTTAGTATAATACAAAACCTTACACCTAGTGCAACACATCATCAATCATCATACGTTACAAAACGTAATTATTTTCGTCAACACGTAAACAACTAATATATATCATACAGTACTCGTATTACGTTTTATATTAGGCTTTTGTTTTTATCTTTCAAGAGACCTGAGTGTGACGCAGATAGCCTTTCTTTGACGGAAGATCGGCGGTCTTGAAACCCTGGGGAAACATCTTTTTGGCTTCTTCGTCAGACACGGCAGGCGAAATCACAACCGGTTCATCCGGTTTCCAGTTAACCGGAGTGGCGATCTTGTTATTGTGCTTGGACGCCATCAACAACGAGTCTAAAGCCCTCAATACTTCGTCCATGTTACGTCCCGTGGTCGACGGATACAAGAAGCTCAACTTTATCTATATATCACAAATCCAAAATTAACCAATAAAATCATACATGGAATAAAATATGAAATTATTACCTTGCTATCAGGACCAACAATATGAAGGGCACGAGACGGTCCATTCTCGATTGGATCAATCATGTTAAGCTGAGGAATGATCTCTTTGTTCGGGTCAGCGATTATAGGGTACTTCACCTTGCTTCCGTGCTATATCCATACATATGTAACAAATTAATCAAAAGCAAAATATGATCTCTAGCTAGATCAAAGATTAATAGGTTTTGTATGCATGCATGAGAGATTTATTAAGGTATACCGTAAAAGCTTCGATGTCTTTGATCCAGTCTTTGTGTGACTGTACATCGTCACAAGACAACCCAAGGAGCTTCACGCCTCTCTTATCGAACTCATGAGCGTATTTCGCCATCGCACCAAGCTCCGTGGTGCATACCGGTGTGAAATCCCCTGTGTGTCCATCGACAAAAATTAAGAAAATAAACTAGAATGTAACAAAAGTCATAATAATAAACTATATACCGGGATGAGAGAAGAGGACGGTCCAAGAATCGGCAAAGTAGTCATGAAGCTTGAACGTGCCATTTGTCGTCTCCACTTCTAGGTTCGGTACCGTGTCTCCTAGTGTGATCCCTGGCATCTTATCTTTCTATTCTTATTATATAAAACAACCTTATAGTGTATCGATGTGATGTGAATATGGATGTAGTAGTAGCTGAAGTTGCGCCGAGGATCGGTTAAATAGAGATCGCAAGCTGGTTAGGTTCGTAGAACAAAGTCAGAAAAAGAGAGAGAGAGACTTGATGATGTTCAAATTGAGGTGCATGCAAAAGAGTATCGCGTGGCGTTCGTACGAATTGGGTTCACGCCACGTGTCTTTGTATAATCCTCAAAGTTCAAATAAAATAACTTTTGTTTCGAGAAAAAACTTCAAAGCTAAGGCGACGCACGATGTCTAGAGACTCAAGGTGTTTGTATTTTTTTACTTGTGTATAATCGACAAAATCTTGCGTTTACACTCAAAACGCTGTCGTATATAATTTTTAATTGGGCCTAGACTATATGGTTAAACGGCGTCGTTACTCAAAAAGATTAGTTCTTCGGACAGACCTAGGAGGATCAGAAGTTCTTAAACGAAACGAAGAAGCCGAAAACTTCTGTCGGATCTGGAAGCTCTCTCTTTGTCTCGTTTCCTTCATCTCTCCCGCTTTACGCTTCTCTTGCTTACTATTCTTTTTCTTCCTCTGGTTTCATTCAAACGTCTCTTTTTTGGTTTTTGTTGATCACGGACGCTTTTCTTTGGTACGTTCTCTGATTCTAATCACCCACACACTTGGTGCCTTTGTCGAAGTTTGGATTGGTTCAATCTCTTTTGTCGTTTCTTGTTTCTTGTTTTAGTTCTTCGTGTCTGTGTATACGAGTAATTAGCTTGATCTTTCTGGGGTATAATTTGTCTTTCGTACCAGTTTAGGGTTTGTTGTCTTCAAATTAGGAATCTTTAATTCTCAGTTTTCAGTTATATTCCCAGAATTAGAAGTTTTCATTTTGAACTTTTTGTTACTCATAATTCGAGAAATTTTCGATTATTGTTTAGTATATTCACTGATCATTGTGTTTATTGTCTTATGATATATTATGTAGATGGAGGTGCAAAGTCTATTAAACTTTGATTTGGATCCTGGTCCAGTTGATCAATCTATATTGGTGTGGCAACATGAGCATAGATCAGCTGCTATATGGGAAGATGAGGTGTGTACTAAAGTTTGTCATTTATCTTGGTTCTTGTTTTGCTTCCGGTGTTTTAACTATTTTCGTTATACTTTCAGGTTCCTCCCCGTGAACTGACATGTCGGCACAAATTATTGGGGATGCGAGATTGGCCTCTGGATCCTCTTGTGTGTCAAAAGTTGATAGAGTTTGGACTATATGGAGTGTATAAGGTTGCCTTTATACAACTTGATTATGCTCTGATAACAGCTCTGGTTGAGAGATGGAGACCCGAAACGCATACTTTTCATCTTCCCGCTGGAGAGATCACAGTGACTTTACAAGATGTGAATATATTGTTGGGTCTCCGTGTGGATGGACCTGCAGTAACTGGTAGTACAAAATACAACTGGGCTGATTTATGTGAGGACTTACTAGGTCAGAGGCCAGGTCCCAAGGATTTACATGGTTCTCATGTGTCCTTAGCATGGCTGCGTGAGAATTTTCGGAATTTACCTGCTGACCCTGATGAAGCTACGTTGAAGTGTCACACTAGGGCTTTTGTATTGGCTTTGATGAGTGGTTTCCTTTACGGAGATAAGTCTAAACATGATGTGGCTTTGACGTTTCTCCCTTTGCTAAGGGACTTTGATGAAGTGGCTAAACTTAGCTGGGGTAGTGCTACCTTAGCACTTCTCTACAGAGAGTTGTGCCGGGCAAGTAAGAGGACTGTTTCTACCATTTGTGGCCCTCTTGTTCTGCTGCAGTTATGGGCATGGGAACGACTGCATGTTGGTCGTCCAGGAAGACTTAAAGATGTTGGTGCTTCTTATATGGATGGCATAGATGGTCCTTTACCAGATCCATTAGGCTGTAGGTAAATTGATATTTATAGTATTCCGTTCAGTTTGTTCTTACAAGTGTAATTTCAAATATGGTTTACTTATGAAACTGCTTGAAAGCTAGGTGGAGGGCTTCTCTGAGTCATAAAGAGAATCCTCGTGGAGGACTGGACTTTTACAGGGACCAATTTGACCAGCAGAAAGATGAGCAGGTATAAAACTATGGCTTAGATGACCGAGCTTTGATAGTTGAGTTTAGGAAAGTAAAAGAAAAATCACAGACAACTCCTAATTTTGACGAACTAAGCTTTTGTTGGGACTTAATCTTTTTAGTAATGGAAACTTATTTTGTAAATCTAACACTTATAATGAAAAATTAATCTCTTTAGCACGTTAAGCTAAAATGGTATTGTTATACTAGTTTCCATAAGTTAGGTAGATGTAAGGCAAACTTCTTTATTTTCCCGTAGTCCCCTAATAAGATTTTATCAAAAGATCGCTGGTACGGTGGTTAATGTAAATGAGTTGGGATTTTCTTTTATGATTTGGATGTAGGTCATATGGCAGCCTTATACTCCACATCTTCTAGCAAAGCTTCCTCTTATATGTCTTAGTGGTCAGAACATATGGCGAACCATTGCACCCTTGATTTGTTTTGATGTTGTTGAGTGGCATCGTCCTGATCGAGTACTTAGACAGTTTGGTCTTCACCAAACAATACCAGCACCTTGTGATAATGAAAAAGCTCTTCATGCTATTGACAAAAGAGGCAAATCAGAATATGACTGGTCAGCACGTCATAGTCGACATATTGAATTGTGGGAGGCTCGTGAGTCATCTGTTGTTTCCGGTGAGCCAGAGTGTAGCCCAATGGACTATAATGATCCTTATATGGAGTGGTACCGCAGAATTACTAGAAGAATTATTAGTCCTATGAACGAGAGGCGCCCTGGGCAATTTCTACCCACTGGTTTTGCTTTCCAAGTACTTGTAAGTTTATGATCAACATCATAACTCTATGGATTTTCAACTTACTTAAACTTTACTATCCAATATAAAATTACAGGTTCAGAGGGTTGCTGCCATTCATGCTCGATCTAAGGCTTCACTTGAGGAGGAACTTACTGTTGACACTGCGAGGCAAACATTACAAGATATCGTTGATATGTGTGCAGGCGCCCTTCAACTCAATGCGCCTTTAGGCTCATTAACGAATGGTAGAATTTCCATACAAATTATCAGAATAATTTTAGGCTACAATTTCTTTTCTTGGTGATTTTTCTACTTAAACTTTCAGTGGATTGGTGATGTATTAGATTGTAACCAATAGAAAGAAGGACTAGATAATAGTAGATCAAATGTTCCTTTCTCCTTAGATGGTATTTCATGATATGGATATCCCAGTTAATTATATCTGCAGATCATGTTACATGTTCATGTCCTTAACAAGTTTTGTCGAGACTTATCTTTTTGACGTACTTAATTCCTTTTTTATAGGCTCTGTTACTCAAGCTCCAACTCCAGAACCATTTTTGATGTTACCTCAACCTATGCCTACAATAATACCCCAAAAGCCTGGAGAAATGGTATGTGTACCTTTGAATGAAATGGGAATAGATGATGGTCTCTCAGCGGAACCTTTGGAAATGATGTCGCCTGTTCAGGATACAGGATGTGAGCAGTCCTTTCCATCAGTTTCCCAGAAACCTCTTTTCTGGCCGTCAGGAGGGAAGCTTACTTTCAGTTGGATTTGTGATGTAATGTTGGGGTTTGATTGGTCGTCGAGGAATCTCTCACCTTGTGAATTTTCAAGTGTTCTGCCTTTTAATGTCTTGGATGAGCTGGTTCTCTCTGCTTCCAAAATCCTGAAGAAAGAGCCAAACTGCGTTAGGATAGAGAGTGACAAAGCAAAGGTCGTTGTGGTTGGAGATCTACATGGGCAGCTACATGATTTGTTGTTCCTTTTGCAGGATGCAGGATTCCCAAATGGTGATGCAGGACTCCCAAATGGTGATCAGTTCTATGTGTTCAATGGGAATTATGTAAACAAAGGAGCGTGGGGTTTAGAAACCTTCTTGCTTCTATTATCATGGAAGGTAATCTTATTATCCTTTAATTCGTGTCTGAAGAGCATAAGATGCAGAGACATAATCTGCTATTATTCAGCTAGATTAGGCATGCCACAACACATTTTAATAGTAGGTGCTTCATCTTTTTGCTAGGTGTTACTACCTGAAAGAGTATATCTTCTACGTGGCAGTCATGAGAGCGAGAGTTGTACATCACTGTATGGATTTAAAAATGAAGTATTAACCAAGTATGGTGATAAAGGAGCAGCTGTCTACAAGAAGTGCTTGGAATGCTTTCAGTTACTCCCTTTGGCTTCTGTGATTGCTGGAAAGGTATTTACAGCTCATGGAGGTCTTTTTCGTGATGCATCAAGATTTCTCTCGGACAAGCAAGAACGAAGCAGAAAACGCAAGCGAACTCAGAAAAAGCAAGCAGATAATTGTGTCCTTGAGACTGATAATAGATCCGAGTCCTTGCCTCTTGGCTCGTTGAAGGATTTATCCAAAGTGAAAAGACGTGTTATAGATCCTCCCGCTGAAGGTTTAAATTTGATTCCTGGTGACATTCTTTGGTCAGATCCATCGAAAGACCCCGGCCTCTTTCTTAACAAAGAGAGAGGTATCGGTTTGTTGTGGGGTCCTGATTGCACCGCAAAGTTCCTACAAGACAATGATTTAAAGGTTAGATTGATCAGTTTCGTGATGATAAATTCTCAAAAAGATCACCTAGAAGCATTGAGAATTTGATAGAAGATTTGAGCGCGCAATCAACCAAATGCATTAGGATACAATATCGTTCTTCTTTGTATATCTGTGAGGTATGTCTGTTACTCCTTCAGCTTCATGATGTTATATCTTTGTATGGCAGTGGATCATCAGAGGGAAGGGAGCCCCTGACGAAAGGGCAAAACGAGATGACCTTGCACCAATGAATGGAGGATATGCAAAAGACCATGAAGGGCTTATAACTTTGTTCAGTGCTCCTGATCATCCTCAGTTTCAGGTATGCTCTATTGGATATATGTATTGGCTATCTTCACTTCCTCCTGTAGTAAGCTCTTGCGATTCAACAAAAATGGTTATTCGCTTGGCTATCTTCATATTAATTTTATATTCTCGCTGGCATTTATCATATCTTGTAGATGTTGTAACTTGTGTTTGACCCTCAACACAAACCTGAGTACCTGTTGTCTCATATGCAGGA